CTTCCTCTTGTTCTTATTTAAAACATTCTCAAATTTCTTGTCAATGTCAGCAAACTTTTTTTCTAACATATTTTTAGAAAATTAAAATTTTTATCTTTTAGAAAATGTCTAGCGATTTCGCTATCTATATTCGAGACAAACTTTTCGACAGCAAAACATCTGTCGACCATAAAATCTTACATAGTGTAAACAAGAAAGGTGAATTTGTTCTAAAGTTCTGTTTCTGGGAATATGACAAGAACCATAAAACATTAAGCAGAGCAGTCTTAAAATTTGTCAATGACAGACTTGTTGACAGAGATGACGCCTCTTGGAGAGATGAAGTCCAACAAAACTTCTTAGAATGCAAAGAAGACACATGCACTGTTCTTGAAGATGAAATAGAAAACAGAATAGATGAGCTATTAAAGGACAAAGAACTTTTACAAAAATATGGTTCTGAGAAGTTTGACATAACTCCACCAGAAAAGAAGAAGAGAGAAAAGAAAGAAAAGAAAGTAGAAGAAGAGAAGAAAGAACCTGAACCAGTTCCAGAGAAAAAGAAATTTGACATGTAAAAATAAAATTTTATTTTTAGAACATTTCTGGGTCAATGTCAATGTTCTCTTCCTCTTTAGGAGTAAAACACTGGCTTAGACTCTAAAATCTTTTTACCCAATTTACCTTGAACTTCTACAACTTTAGACTCATAATATTCATAGTCGTCTGCTTTCTTTGGTTCATAAGGTATAACAAGTTTGTATGCTTTGCCTTCTTTAAGGTTTGAAAACCTTCTGTCAAAACTTTCTTTGACTGTTAACAAACCTTCTATGTCTAAGTCTTCAAATTTCGCACCATTTTAGTCACAATAGCAAACTTAACTGGTTCGATGTTCCAAACTTTGCTGAATGAAGACTTTTCAAAATGGTAGAAGTAAACATTCAAATATGTGAATGGGTCTAGTTCTGCTTTAAGTCCTGACATGTACTTGTTTACTGAGATGAATTTTGCCATCTTTTCTATCGGATAAAAAAAAATATTTTTTTAAATTTACTCAGAAAAATTTTTCTTTGTATATACACCATTCTGAACATCTAAAAGACTTTTGACATTTGCCAAGAATGTTCGTTTAGACGCTGTCATATAACCATATTCTTGACAATATTGTTTATACGAATCGTACAATGACCTTTCATCTAATGACACAAAGTCAGTTTCATCTATGAACAGTTCATATACACTCTTGTTTGCTTCTAACAATGTTTGTCTCTCTTCGGTATGTGGAATTTGTCTTGGATTGAACTTTGAAATATCTAATGTCATAAAATATGAGAACAAGTGGTTGTAAAAGTCAGATGTCAAAGTTTCTGACAAAGCGTCAAAATATTCTGTATCTTGCATATGAGCTTCTGACGTTCTGACAACTACATATCTTCTGTCAGAACTTTCTAACTTCATCGGAACAGCATTGTTTGAAACCATAACGAAGTTTGCAACATTTTCACAAACTCTTTGGTCTTTATATTTTTCTTTCAACAACTCCAACTTTGTCTGTTATAAGACTCTTCAAAGCATCTGAGTTCAAAACTTTTGTTGTATCTATACTTTGAAGTTCGTTACATACTATAAGTTTCATATTCTCTATTGAAGAGTTAAACTTGCCACAGATGTTTTCTAAGTTTGTCATATTCGGGTTCGAATAGCCCTCTAACAGTTTGCATAAGATATCTGTAAAGAATGTGTTCTTACCTGTTCCTTGTTTTCCAATTATAATGAGAGCAGTTTCATTTTTAGCACTTGGATGTTGTAAGATGTTTGCAAACCAACATAAGATATACTCATAAACCTTTTCGTTTCCATTGCATATAATTTCTTTGACATGGTCTAACCAAGCTTCTATAATATTTTCTTTCCATTCTACTTGTTCATATTTATATCCAGTGAAGATAGAATAGAAGTTTGGAGAAGGTGTATAAAACTTTATACCACGAACTGAAAAATCTTCTAACTTTGACAATAAGATATCCCAAGCATCTAACATCTTCATTCCAACTTGTACAACTTTTATTTTCTTAAGTTTCTGTCTACATTCTTGTTCAGACACTATTGTTGCTCTTGGTTTGTTAAAGACAACATCCATTCTTTCATGACATAACATTCTGGGCAGAGTCAACATAAATGACTAAACGTTTTCAAATTCTCGACTGCTTTGTTATAGTCTCGAAATGGACACATATTTCTGAATGTTTGGAAGTAAAAAATCTGAAACATCTATTCTGTACATTTTTATAAAAATAAAAAAAAATATTTTTTTTTATTCTTGAGCTATTTGTTGCATTTGTTGTTCTTGAGCTATTTGTTGTTGAAGTTGTTCTTGTAATACAATACTTTCACCAGTTGCATCTTCCAATTCGAAACTTTCTGCCGTCATTGACAAATACATAGGACATAAAAGTTTTACAGGAACAAAGTTTGCGTCAACTAAGGTTAAGTTTATGTTTGCTAAAGTGTTTGAGTTTACTAAAGCTGAAAACTCTGCATTCGAATGAACAATAGGCAAACCAGCAGAGAATGTGTTATTTATACGCATAAGTATCTTTTGGTCATAGTAGTTTCTGTCGACATTCGAATAACACTTTTGAACCTAAGTTTGAAACAATATATAAAATAGGTGTACTTAAAGTCAATGGAACAGACATTCCTTGTATGACACCTTTTCCTGTTATAGGAAACTGTTGGTAGTAAAAACCAGATATAAGTTTTGTATAGCTCATATTGTTTATAGTAAACTCAGTCGGACATCCAAACATAATGAAACCTGCTCTAGTTGCAGCACATGTTACACCCGTACTTTAAAGTATTAAATAAGTCAACAAAACCTGTTGGTGTATATTGAGTAAGTATCTTCAAAGGAGTATTTTTTACCATTCACAACAATAAAATCTTCTGGTGTCAAAAGAGCAAAAACAAGCTTTAGTCGTCATTGTGTTTAAGGTTAGTTTACAATATCGTCCTTGAGGACTTTGTAAGTTTGTTGTTATAGAATTATATGACTCAGGGTTTTAGTCGTAATAGTATAAACCATTGTGTCTTCTGCCATTTACTTAGCAAATAAATTTTAATGAAATGTTGTGGTCGTCAAATATTTTTATAACGTCTGGGAAACTATATTTTAAGTTCAACGTTTCACCTCCTTTCATAACGTATATCTTGTCAATGACATTATATGAAACACCACAGCAACTAACGTCGGGTTTCTATTTCTTTGATGTTTATATCGTCTGCCTCTGTCAAAAGTTTCAATAGTTCTTTCAAAACTTCATGAGGTGCAATGACATATGAGTTCACTTTTACAGGGTTGTGTTCGACCAAGTTTAACATTATACCTAAAGCTTGACAAATCTTCTCCTGAGTTTGAAGTTTGTCTTTCAGTTGTTGGTAGTCGTTTCGAATATCTGCAATAGAACTTAAGTCTCTGCTAACTTCAGGGTATGTTGGTTGTTCTTTTATAGGAACTATTGTTATACCATCTTGGTCTTCGTATGGTTTCCCCACTTCAACATCTCTGTCTTTGACATTCAACAACACTTTGACTGTTTGTTTGAGTTGGTGAATTTAACTTCACATCTGCCACTGCCATTTAAACCTTTTGAAACACTTACGCTTCTATTTTTCGGAAATGACATTTTACTTAGAATAAAAAGATGGACGTATTTGAGTATCTCTTCGAATTGAAGCAAAACAAAGTTTACACACACAAACAATACAAATACATTGACAGAATAGTTCTTTATACAAACAATGGAAAATGTTATAGAATAGCAGTCTTTGCTGAACCAAAATATTTTCATAAAGCAAAGAAAGTTGGTATAACTGAAATGGTGAAGTTCTTAAGCAGACAAAAATATAACTTCAAAACTTACAGATATTTCTAAAGGTAAGTTTATAATACAATATTATGTCAAAACTGGCGTACTGTCAATATTTGACGGAGAGAAGTCAGTTCAAGAACAACTTCTGACCTGCTGCCAAAATCTGCTCGATGGAAGCTGTCGTTATGCCAATCTGAGGAGCCCCAGCAGGTTTCATCGAACGAATCTTCAAAAGAGCATCTTCCGTGAAAAGTGCTATTGGTTTTGTAAACTTCTTTGCTTTCAATTCATCTGGACCGTCTCTGTCACCAGTATATTGTATTTGAACTGTACCAACAGTTGAAATACCACCCATAAAGTCTTCTGAGTCAGCAAATGGAATGCCAAGCCAAAAGTTTGAACGGTCTCCATTTGTATATTGAGTTTTTTGACTTCCTGTATGGGTCCATACTTTCACATATGGCATAATAGAACTTTGCATTTCAGGGTTAATGGTTGTTGTGAAGTTGTTGTTAAAGTTCATAGCATCTAATGTCAAGTTGTATGACCTCATATCCTCAACTGTAGAATATTCTTCTCTTGGATAATATTTGCCATCTATGTTATATGATATTTAATACCAGGGTTGTAGAAACAAGAATAGTCATTTATAGTTCGTCTGAACAGTACAAACATAGTATCTGCATGTTTCATTTGCAGTTGTTAAAGCAATATCTGTTCTTGCACCTGGGTCAGCACTTTGGTTTCCAACTTCACCTGCAAAGTCTTTGACAGATATTTGGTGTATAGGGAACATAAGTGGAACTGCAATATATTTGGCAGCTAAAGCATTTGAAATATCTGGGTCCAACATATAGACTGCAAGTCTGCTTTCTATTCTCTTGCATTCAAATTTTTCGCATGTGAACTTAACTGGGTCCCAAGCAGTTCCAGCATTGAAATAATAGTTTTACTTCAGTGTTGAAGTTTGAGAAACCAAAGTCTAAGTCAACTTTGTCTTTGCAAAAGTCGGCGAATGACGTTTTATTTGTTCCATTTACGTCTGTAAGAGTGAATGGGTCTTGTGTTGGTGCAATGACTAAGTTATTTTTGCTTGGAGTAAGTTCGATAGAAATTTTTCCTGCCCAGTTTGGTAAGTATCTTAAAAACCTGAAGATGAGGAAAGATGACAAAGGAACTCTAAGTTTCAGTTTTACTTTAGTTGCAGCAGTTCCATCTGAACCAGAAAGGTTAACATAAACTCCTGGAACGTTAGGGTCAAGTCTTCTTATTTTCTCAATAGTTGCATACTGGTCTGTTTGTTCTCTAGCTTGTGGTTGTACTGAGTTTCTCAAAGCGAACCATTCATAGTTTGCCCATGTTACTGTTTGAACTAAGTCAGAGTTAGAATATATCTTATATCCCATGAAAACTTCTGGAGCATATTGGTATCCGACATAGAAAATTCCATTGCAACCTTTCTTACCTCTCAAGTCAGCAGAAGGTTTTATTTCAATGTCTTGTTCCACGTATAAGAATGAGTTGTCAATAGAAATAATATGAAACCTGTCGCAAGCAATATCTACTGTTGTTGAAGAACCTTCTCCAAACTCACCTACATTTCCATAAGAAACAGCAGTTGTATATTCGTAAGTTCCAGGAACTATTTCTGACCTTCTAATGGCATTGTCGCATTCGTTATACCATTCGGAAACATTTCCGTTCATGGCATCCAAAACTGTTGGCGTTATATTCTGAGCGGCGTACATTTCATATGGGTAAAAATATAGAATAGTTGGATTTATGTGTCATAATAGAACCCACGTGGACCAAGCTTTACTTTCTTCCTGGCTGAGTTTTTAACTCTTCTTTTTCCTTCATTGCCACTACTTTCACTAGATGAAGTTACTTCTTCACTACTTTCACTTTGTTCTACTCTTCTCTTCTTCTTTGGTGTCGCTTTTGGTAACTTGCCCTCTGCTTCAAGTTGTTGCATCTTTGCCTCATGTTCACCTAGTATGTTGTAAATTTCCCATGTCCTTTTTGCCTTTGGGCTCTGGTCGCCCATCTCAGGTAACCTATATCCTAGAAAGATTTTGTCATAGTTTGTATTTGAGTCTTCGCTTATTGTTTGCATGACTCTTTCCTGAGTTTCCGGTTCAAGCTCTTCAAACAGAGCTTGTCCATATGGAATAAGCTCGTTTCCAATATATGTTTTTGTAGCCATTCTGGTTTTCTTTCCATGTTACCAATAATATCTTTTGTGAATGGGAAAGCTTTTACCCAACGCTTCAGTCTTGCGTCATTTTTTTCTGTAGTTGGTTTTATTTTGTCAAGGAACATGTTTTTCAATACTAACATTTCATTTGGTACTGTCCATTTGAGTTTTCTTAAATATTCATCCATTCTCGGTTCATTGTCTGCAAAGTAAGTTTTTATGACATTTTGCAAACTTTCGTTTGCAAGGTCATGTACAATAGGTTCTCTTCCTTCTCTCTCCCTAACTTTCTTTCTAAACTCTTCACCAAATATACCATCTCTATGGTTCTGTGTAGTTCTTTGAGATAAATGTTCTAGAACGTCAGGTGTTATATTTCCATCAGCCATGTTCATTTCATACTGGTCCAAAATATCTGCATGTTTCATATCTTTCAATGGCATTAAAGCCGCGCTGAAAATACCAGCTATATCTGGTTCACCATTCACTTCCATTGCGTCTACAACTTCTTGGAATTGTGGTTGTAAGTTTATGAACCACCTATCCGGGTTAGCTTTATGACCCCATCTCATTGTAGTTCCATAGTCTGCAGAAACAAAAGTAGGTTTGTTTCCATATTGGTTAGGTTCTGAATGAACTTTAAACAATGTTTCATTTCTATATGTTTTGTTGAAATTTAACCTTTTATTTTCACCGAGTTCAGCCAAAGATTGAACGTTATATGGTCGTAAGTAAAAAGGGTTATTGTATTTGCGTACATTTTCTTTCAGTACTTCCATTCTATGCTGAATATTTTCATCTGATGTTGGAGTCTTTTGTATGTCGGTGAACATTTTTCGATATTCTTCTACTCTGTCAGCCGAATTTTTCTTAGACTCTTGGAAAGATTCCATATTCACCTCATAGTCTTGTTGAGGGTCAAGATTTTTCGGCTGTTCCAAATCTTCATCTAGTTCTGTGAAGTTAGTTTCCAAAGGAGGGACTTGTTCGTTTCCTTCAGGCTCTTCTAGCTGTTGTTGCTGAACTATTTCTTCCATGTCTGGTTGTATCTGAACTTCTTCCTGTGGAGTTTCTTGTACCTCATCTGCTGGCATTTCATATATTCCGAGACCGTTTTTAACAAGTTCCCTATCTAAGTCATCCGGACTCATAAACCTTTCTTCTTTCGTTCCGTCTCTATTTTTTACGCGTTTCATGAAGAGAGTTGAATTGTCATTTAGCTCTGACACCAAATATCTCGGAGTAAATTCAGTCATGTCATTTGGATGATATGCTATTAAATCATATCCCTTAGCGAGCTTGTATTTTCCAGGTTTGAAATTATATCCCATTTGGTGCTGAGCCATAAAGCTAAATAGGTTCGGGTCAGTATTTCCTTCCTTGAACTTTCTAATAGCTTCTTTATATCTGTCACTAAAGTCAAGAGTATCTGGGTAACCATAGTCTTCCTTAAGCATTTTTAAGAATTCTTGGTTTCCTTGTTCTCTACTTCTTTTATGTCCTTGCTCTGTTTGTGGTTGTTGCTGTGCAGTGTTTTGAACTGTTGGTTGTGGTGCAGTGTTTTGAACTGTTGGTTGTTGTGCTGGATTTTGAACTGTTGGTTGTTGTGCTGGTTTTGGTGCATGCCTGTGTCTGTGTCCATGTGACGATGTAAATGTTTTAGGTAGTCCTGGTGCAGGTGCTTCTCTTGGAGGGTTTGGTGGTATATAGGTTCCACTAGCTAGTATATAAGTTCCACCAGCTGGTATATAAGTTCCACCAGCTGGCACATATGTTCCATCTGCAGCATAGTGTCCTACCTGACTTTTCGTTTTTAAGAAAGCATTTACTAGGTCTGTTTTGGTCTGTTGTAACTCTTTTTCTTGACTTTCCACAACAGTTGCTCTAACGGCGTCATAGGCACTTTGAACTGCCTGTCTCGTTGCTGCATCTGTTATTTTCGTCATATTTTGTGCTACTTCTTTTAACTCTTTGTCGAAACCTTCAGACTTCAGTTTCTTTCCAGATGAGAAGTCGTTCACTTGTTTCACCTTACTATGAAGAGCTTCGAAGGCGTTCTTAAAGTCAGCATTTGTTAAAGCTTCATTTGAACTGTCTTCATCCGCTTGTATTTTTGTCCTTATTGACCCTATAAGTTGGGCTGCTTTGGCGTTGGCTTGGGCATCTAACCAGTCATTGTTAGCTTTTATATATTCTGCGCTTTTCATTGCCTTTTGCATGGCTGCGTCGTTATTTTTACTTTCTTGTGCTAAGTTTTCATACTGTACGGTTTGGTTTTGCAACTGTAAAAGTTTTTCTGCCTTTACATTTGCTTCAACTTCTTTTTATACTCATCGCTATCCATATATGTCTTCAGGGCTTTTTGTTTTATCTCTTCATCTTTCAGTACTTTATATTGAGTAGTATGGTTTTTCAAATTTATAACATCTTGTTCCATTTTTGCTACTTCTGCTGCTTTTTCTGACACTTTTTTCGCATATTCCTCTGTACTTAGTTCTTTCAGTTGTTCTTCTTTCTTCTTTTTCTCTACGTTTAACTCATTGAGTTTCTTTGTGTGTCTGTCATATTCTAGTTTCTTTTCGTTTTCACTTATTTGTTTCTGTATGTCTATGTTTGACTTTTTGACATCTGCTATTTGATTTTTGAGTGAACTCAAATTCATTTGACTTTGAGGGTTATATGCTGTTCCGTCTGCAGCTCCACCATAGCCTGCCATTTTCGCTAAAAGTGCCGCTCTTAAACCTCCACTCTGTGCACCAAGAACTCGGTTTAAAAGCATAGGATTGCTTGACATTTGTTGCAACATAGTGGGGTCATTCATTATTTGTTGTTGCAACTGTTGTTGTGGTGTCAGTTTTACTATTGGATGTTTCAATGCTCTCTTCCTCTTACGTATATTCTTACGTAGCTTACGTGGCATTTTAAGTGAAGTTAAAAAGCGGTTTTTGACAGATGTTTATATGACACTTTCTCCGGTTTATAGGACCTCTCTCATATTCTATCTTGTCATATCTAAACTCATAGTCATGTATGTCCTCTAACCATCTCATAACGGTTTCCAAACCACTTTTATCGGATGTAAAGTAAAAGCATGGATGGTTATGTAAAACGTCTAAAGTTTCTAAAGAGTCTCTCAAAGTATACTTCCTTGGAACGCCCGTAACTTTTCCTGTAGCGACGATAGACCCTTACTTGTCCGGACAAAGTTATACTATTTTGAGTGCTCTACAAAAAAGTCAACGACGACGACTCTCAAAAATTTTTTATGGGCTAGAGGGCGCAACGCGCCTGGAAGCCCCCAGTACCCAAAAAACTTCATTTATACTAAACATCTTCTGGGCTAGAGGGCACGAAGTGCCTGGAAGCCCCACTACCTTTTTTTTTTTTTTTTTTTTTTAAATGATAAATGTTCATCAATAGTGTGGGATCTCGATATTTATATTCAGAATTAATTGATTTATTATCAAAAGTGTCGAAAAATGAATAATGAAATAGGTCGGATGATATTTTTTAAATGAAAAGGGGCTTAGCTCAATGGTAGAGCGCAGATCAAATCTTTCAGCATTGATTGTAAGATATCTTACATCTGCTTATAGGTATATATTCCTGAAATCTTGGTTCAATTCCAAGAGCTCCTATTTTTAGTTTTTCCTTGTGAATTATTTCAGAGGGTACTAAGCATAAACCTAATATTTATTGATTTATATAATGCTTATGTATACAGTATTCTTATGTATTAAAAAGATAAATCATGACAAAAATTAAAGTACTCACAAAATCTAGATTGAGAGGCGGTCAATGACTTTTGAGGGGAAATTAACGCATGGAATTTAATATTATTTAGGTTGATATTCTTGCTTATTATTTCAGAAAAAAATCTTAAAAATTTCAATATGAAAATTGAAAGCAATTCAAAAAAATTGCTAACATGTAAATTTTAATATCCTATGCATAATTTCATATTTTGAACATTTTTTATTTTTGTTTAAAACTTAAAATTTTGCGAATTTAATATAATTTATAAAATATAATACGTATATATATTTAAAATACACTAAATTTAATTGTTAATTGACGTTTTTGGGAATGAATTTTATCAAAACATGCCTGAATCAGAAAATTTGAAAGAACGAATTACACAATCATATATGTAGAATTCAAAATACAAACTTAAAGATTGTATACGTTTAAAATTATTCAGATTGTGTTTGATTTCCACTCATTCTGTTTCTTTTGAACTCTAACACTAACATTTCATGATGATTACATGATCCATTTATACATAGTTGAATTGTTCCAGATTCTACCAGAAAATCAATCCAAATTTCTCAATGCATTCATGTTGATTGGACAAAATTTAAAATTTATCAGCCTGTTTCCAGAGAAACTCATATATTCCCTAATGAAATGTAATTTTTGCTACATTTATTTCAATCAAATTTCAAAAAATTGACTGCAGAGCTTGAAAAGGTGATGAATCATGTTGTTATTAGATGTACATATTAGATTTACTATTTCCAAAAAATGCTCAAATTTGAATAGTTTTTAGAAAATTTGGAATTACACTCTTTACATTATATATAATTAAATGTTTAAATTTTATTTATTTTTCCCTTTTAATTTTATAACGTGCTTTATCAAAACTAACCTCTCAATTGAAGGCCACAAAATCTAAGTAGTGAGGCTCTCAAAAATTGAACCGTACTTCATACAAAATTTGTGTACCCTCACTACTTAGATTTTGTGGCCTTCAATTGAGAGGTTAGTTTTGATAAAGCACGTTATAAAATTAAAAGGGAAAAATAAATAAAATTTAAACATTTAATTATATATAATGTAAAGAGTGTAATTCCAAATTTTCTAAAAACTATTCAAATTTGAGCATTTTTTGGAAATAGTAAATCTAATATGTACATCTAATAACAACATGATTCATCACCTTTTCAAGCTCTGCAGTCAATTTTTTGAAATTTGATTGAAATAAATGTAGCAAAAATTACATTTCATTAGGGAATATATGAGTTTCTCTGGAAACAGGCTGATAAATTTTAAATTTTGTCCAATCAACATGAATGCATTGAGAAATTTGGATTGATTTTCTGGTAGAATCTGGAACAATTCAACTATGTATAAATGGATCATGTAATCATCATGAAATGTTAGTGTTAGAGTTCAAAAGAAACAGAATGAGTGGAAATCAAACACAATCTGAATAATTTTAAACGTATACAATCTTTAAGTTTGTATTTTGAATTCTACATATATGATTGTGTAATTCGTTCTTTCAAATTTTCTGATTCAGGCATGTTTTGATAAAATTCATTCCCAAAAACGTCAATTAACAATTAAATTTAGTGTATTTTAAATATATATACGTATTATATTTTATAAATTATATTAAATTCGCAAAATTTTAAGTTTTAAACAAAAATAAAAAATGTTCAAAATATGAAATTATGCATAGGATATTAAAATTTACATGTTAGCAATTTTTTTGAATTGCTTTCAATTTTCATATTGAAATTTTTAAGATTTTTTTCTGAAATAATAAGCAAGAATATCAACCTAAATAATATTAAATTCCATGCGTTAATTTCCCCTCAAAAGTCATTGACCGCCTCTCAATCTAGATTTTGTGAGTACTTTACATCGAACAAATAATGATTTTATTTGAGAGGGGAAAAGGTATTATATTAGAATTGAGATGAAAACTGATATCAAGGGCATTTGAACTCTTGTGTAAGGGCAATGGTTTGTTTGACAATTTCCATGAAAAATTTCTCTCGCATCGCATGGATTAAAATAGAATGGAATGATGAGAGCAAAGCTGTCTGTTGTGAAGCTCAAAGTCTCGAATGTTGCACTGTTGAATGCTTGGACTGTGTATGATATAGTGTTTTCTATAATGGAAATTCTTATCAAATGGGTCGTTGAGTTTCCGTACGCTCTATAAATAGAAGTCGAATTATTCTGATAAAAATATGAGTCACTAATGTACCCGACAGAATTTGTTGTATCTAGAAGAGATGTACCGCTATTATTAACGTAAGAACAATATGAAAAATATGAATTTATTAAATCATGCTTTGTTAACTGATTTTTATTGTTGTTACTTGAAAAATGGCAAAACTTAACATATCCAAAATTTTGTGATGATGAAATATGTAAAACTTCAGCCAAACATGAATTATAAGAAAGATTTAAAGAATTACTTGATATATTGCCTTTGTATAAAGAAATTATTCGATATATTGAACTATTTCCACACATAGAAATTGAAGAATCGGAGAATCGATTCGACTTTGAATCACCTCCACCAAAACACATGCAAAATTGCCCAACACCATTAGATGTGCTACTATTTATTCCGCACTGCTTTGATTGTATACACTCGCCACCATTAGTATAGACTGAACCGCCTTGATTTGATTTGGTAATATCTAAAAATTGATTAGACACTAATAAAGTCTGTTCGTTTGATTTTATATCAATGCACCCGGAAACAAGATTAGAAAAGCTACTCTGATATACTAAGACTTTTTTAGTATTAATATCAGGATACTTGGTTTTAAACTTGATAGTTGTAGGAGTGGTTCCATCAAAGTATTCCCTCCAAAGATTCTCATCAACAATGCATAGTGACTGATGAATAATAATGATCAAGGAAAAATCATTGATTGCAAATGGCACTTTTGATGATAATTGAGTGTATTATATGAGTATAGTTATATTTTGTGTATTTCTCCAAGATCGAGCAAATTGATTTTTAAAAACCTTATTGGTCTTTTAATTGCATTTCCCTAAAAGTACCAAGCTTTGCGATGATATTTTAACGAGACAAAATGACTAAAAACTTTTAATAAATATGATTTGATGCAATATCAATGCGTTTTTGTATTCTTACAGTAAAGAATTGAATAAGAAATAAAATTTTGGTCTATCTTTGCAAGAAAGTTGTCAAATAGACTAAATAAATAAAATTTATTTTATAACCTTCCATTCTTGAATGTGTGTATATGTATAAATTAAGTCCCAAGCAAAAATAAGAAAATTAACTATAAGAAAAACATTTATAACACAAAACAAGAAAAAATTAATCTTATTGAACAGGTGTAAATGGGCAAGATTGGTATTTAAATAAGCATTGGTTCAAATTAGCAAATAATTCGTTGATTTCATTAGCTGGGATGTAGTTCTTAAGGTCATTACTAAAAATCGAGTAAAGAGAGTTGGAAATTGTATCAATTGGCCATCTAGAATTTCCTTGAAAGAATTTAATTGGTTTTCCAGCATAGTTGTTGATGTGTTTCGATAATTCTGAGTCAATTCTGTCAGAATTAATACAAACGCATAATTTAACTTGTTCATGACATTGAGATGTCAATTCTGATGGTAAATAAAGTTCTGGAGGTGGTAATTCTTCATGATATGTACCTTCAAAGAAACTTATGACGTTTTGAGAGAAATTTCTGAGGTTATTTAAAACAACTGTATTAGTTTTGTTATGCATAACTATTCCAGAAGGGCTGAAAAGGCTGTATTTGATTTTTAGCGATGGATTTGTTGAATAACCTAATTTTGCAACGTCCTTTAGCTTGCAAGAGAGTGTTTTCCAGTACAAGGGCGATGTTTTCTTTAATGAAAACATAACTGCTGAGTTTCCATCGATTAATTCGAGCTCGGTGTTGATATCTGTTAAACAGCCCTCATAAAACGGTGAAAGAGCGTCAACAAAGTGCTCAACAGATCTTCCACCGCTGTAATAATCAAAACCATCTTGATGGAATATGATGAAAGTTGGTAAATACTTAACTTTGTATTCATAAGCCGCTGTTCCATATCTTGTTGTATCGACACTTCCGAATTTTATGTATCCGTTAAGTTGCTTTGCTGCTTCATTGAATAATGGGGCTGCCTGACGACAAGCTGGACAAAAGTCTCCGAAAAATAAGACAAACCATGTGGTTGAATTATCTCTCTGCTCAATAGTTTTTTCCCATGTATCATCAGTAAGTTCCTCGACATATTTCGATCTCTCTACGTGAGGTTGAGTTTTGGCAAGAAATAACAAAGTAAACATAGTTGACAAATAACTTTACAAATCTTGTAAACTGTTTACATTACTATCATCATTTACAATTTCATTACTGAAAATCTTCTAACTTTGAATAAACGATTAATAATAATAAATTGTTTGAAGTGAAAAGAAGATGTAAGGTATCATAGAAAATAATGGAGGTCAAGTTCAGTCTACAGGTGATTCAAAACAGAGAAAATTAAATTAAAATAAAATTTTACATTATGAATGATGGAAATACTCCGAAAATTCTATATATTCGTAATGCCTTACTGACCGAGGGATTCATTTGGCAGGGATAGAAGTAACTTTTCGTTCTGCGACATATCTATTGCTTGCTGCATGTAAACATCGTTGTTTCCTTGCTCTTCTAATTTCTTTTTGATATGGAAATATTTGAATCTGCATTGTACGTCTGAACGGTCTCCAAGCTGCTGAGCAACTCTTGTCCAGGATTTTGGACCAATAATCTGGACAGCCTTGAGAAGTTTCTCTTCTTCCTCGGCAGTCCAGTTGGCCTTGCTAATAGCAGGATTGAGAACGCGATTCCATCTTTGACTGCATTGAGCTCTCGTTCTTCCGTTGCCAACTAATTCGGCAACTGTACCCCAGTCGTTGGGTCCATGCTCTTGAACGCCTTGTTTAAGGCGCTCATCTTCTTCGGTTGTCCACTGACGAGATTTAGACCTTGAATTTCGTTTTGCGTTGGGCAAATTATTGCCTAAATCGTTTATTTTCTCAAGAGTATTGTTTGGTTTGAGGTAGCGTGAAATCGAAGCATTAAAATCGTCGGCGCTAATCTTATGGGTTAAAAAATCCTGTAAGATTCCCATGACAGCTTCTGTGTTCTCTTCGGTGTTTTCAATAAGGTCCTTCTGAATTGTAGCTTTAATATCTTGGGTAGGATCATTCATGAACGAAGTTGACATTTTGTAAATTTATCACAATTTTGGCGCCAAAACCGCTAACCGTTTTTGGCTAATTCCTGAAAGCACTTCATCTTTTAGAAATTTCGTTTCGACTTCTAACGTATAATTTAAACTTTACAAATACCGCTAATTAGTAAACTGTGTCACGTTTCTTCTCAGAAACGATATTCGACTAAATTTTATGAATTCGGTCTTTACGTAATGATACAATTTCATTTCGGCCAATTCGAATTTATTTGCCGATTATCATTTTCGCAATTTTTTGGAGTAGGGGTAATTTTAGCTAAAAGTGACACGCCTGTAAAAAGTGATACACCCGTGAAGGGTGTGATTACCGATCGGTAATTTCGACAGTTTAGAATTTAAAATTTTTGATGGAACTGTTGCGAGTTTCAGAAAGAATTTAAGGAATATAAGCAAAGATTTGAATCAAAATCTTAGACTTAAGCCGCTCGATTCGCTCGCGGCTTCCGCGAATTACAGATCAGCAAAGATTTGAATCAAAATCTTCGAACTAAGCCGATCGCTTCGCTCGCGGCTTTCTTTATTATTTTAAATTTGCATATTTCCATCAAAAGTTCATAAGGTAAAAAATTTCGTTTATTTTTACTAAGAAAAAAAAGGTTTTTGATAATAAATTTATTTTATTTCGAAAAAGTAGCAATAATCGTAAAAGGGTATTGATAGGCTTGCTAAAGTAACTAATTTTAGCTGTCAAATACTTTTGTATTTTGAAGTAAATTAGTATAAATTTGTTTTTACTTTTATTTCGAAAAAGTAGCAATAATCGTAAAAGGGTATTGATAGGCTTGCTAAAGTAACTAATTTTAGCTGTCAAATACTTTTGTATTTTGAAGTAAATTAGTATAAATTTGATATTATTTTAACTCCCTTTGAAAACCTCAATTTTCCATACAGAGGGAACGGGAATAGCATCCAATATTCCCTGAGAATGGTTGCGCATTCTCAGTTCCCTCTATATTTCGAACGAAGCTCTCATCGGTCTTTTTTTTAATACTAAACGTTTTTTTCTCCTGTCACTTTTAGCTAAAATTTGGGTTTGCCCAATTTTTTGCCTCATTCGGTCAAATCATTATCCTGCGATTTGGTTTTAACATTTACATAATAAATCATATTCTCAACTAAGTAAAATGTAAACCAGATCGAGTTTACAAATTTTATTTTTTGAGCAATTAGATCTTAACTCAACAAGCCTTTTATTGAATTTTGCACAATATATCTTTTTTTATTTAGCAGAAGACTGTTCGATCGATATCATCTCTATAAAAATATGTATACTTTTATAGCGATTTCATATTGTAATTCACAAAATATTGCAGATAAAACAAAAATTATTGCATACAAATTCATTCTAAATCTGAAACAAGCCAAACGATCTCGAACAAAGGCATTGGAAAACAAAATTTTCATCATTTTATTGCCAAAATTCAATAAAGAACGATAAATAGGTCGAAACATTAATTTACCAAATGCAATAAAAGTTTTTTATTCAATTATTGTTTAAAGAAGGTTGAAGAAAGAAGTTGTATTGGAATAGTTCAGGAACTCCTTTCAAAAGGGATGTTCGTAGTGTCATACCTTTCTGTGAGAGAATGTTGAATATCTCTTTCCTCTTCTCTTCGTCTTGAATTACGTTTGTGATTACGGATTTTGCTGTTTCTGTTGGATTCATGAGATTTCGTCTTCGTTCTTCAATCATACTCGAAATGTTTCTTTGTGCGCGTTGTGAATTTTCGATGATTTCGAAAACGAAGTTTGCACTCGCTTTCTCGAATCCTTTTGTGTTGAAATAAGTAATGCATGATATGGATTTTGGTGCATTCGATAACAAAGAAGTGTAATTGTTCATGTTTCTTTCTTCAACTTTCGCGATGACGACTGTTGACTTGAACGATGAAACAATTCTGTTAAGATAGACGAATGTCGAACTATCGATACTTGATGCATCGACAAAATAGAATGATATCGAATTACAGAAAGGAACGAGAATATCAACACTGATTCCTTTCGATTCTCTGAATGTTACTGTCTTTGGGACAATGTTTCTTAAGAACTGGATTATTGGATTGTTCCAAAATTCACTCCTAACAACGATTGCAGACATTTTTTATAATTTCATTTTTTAGTTTACAACAGAGATTGATGTGCTTGAATGATGTAATTTTTTTTCTTTCAAATGATTAATATATGAGGTATACTCGAGCTCTTTATTAATTTTCGTCTTCAAATCCAGTTTTTTGATTCAGATTAGTTTAATTTAAAGCATATATGAAAATTCTAGTCTAATATGATTCTGGGGAATATTTCCAAACCATGATATCTGCTGTTATTACAGATAAAGACTCAACATCAAAGAAGTTATAGCAGATTTACGCAATTTTTTTTCCAACTAACTGTCAGCAACTTGTGGAATATTACAGCGGTCAAAACTTATATTACATATATCTCAGATATAATAATGCTAACATCACTTGTAAGTTTACTTATGCAGAAAAAGTATACTAAAAATGTAAACTTCACAATGTTACCCCCTTAATTCAATAATTTGGCACTTTTTTATACAATCGCAATGCTTTTTTATTTGAAATATATTATGAGCATATATTATTACGCTTCTTTTGTTGTACGCTATTTGACACCTGATCGGAGGATTTGATTGTTCAAGACTTTATGCTATTATATATATACCTAATTAAAGTCTCTGAATTTGAAAAATAGTCGAGTTGGACTACTTCTGATCACAATTTTTTTTAATCTCAATGTAGATCTTTTCTAGATCTACATTCTAATTGTATAAATGAACTATCAGTATTGAAATATACAATTAGAAAGTTAAATGATAAATCGTTTTTCAGATATTCAATCAAAAGCAAATAAAATTATTCTAATTTTTTTTATTCTGATTTCTTATTGTAATATCTTTTTAACCAAATATTCCAATTAATCATATATTTATAATTCAATATGAGTTCTCTTTCATCTCCTAATTACATTGACATTAATGAAAGATTTTATTCACAAGACGGAAAAAATCTCACCAAAGTCAATGACATATCACCATACATCAGAATATCAGCTAAATGTGAATTGATTTATAATAAATGCTTTTATAAACTAAATTCATTAATTTCATTTACGTTTGAAGAAAATCCAAACTTAACAATAATTGGAAAAGAAAGCTTTTATGAATGCCAGAATATTACTAACATTAATTTATCATCATGTAGTAAGCTTAAAATAATATCCGGTTATGCATTTTATAGATGCTTAAAAGTTGCTGAAATACTATTACCAAGAGGACTTCTTGAAATACATACTTTTGCATTTTGTGTTAATGGATTAGTAACAAATATTACAATTCCAGCTTCTGTTGAAATAATTGGTCAAGAAGGAATTTACGCCTGTAGAAAACTAGAAAATGTTATTTTTGAAGAAGGCTCAAATTTGACTTCATTAGAAGATCATGTATTTGCCGAAACAGGAATTACTTCGTTTCAAATTCCAGAGAAGGTTTCATACATTCATGGATGGGCATTTCATGATGGACAGTTAACAAATCTTTCACTACATCCTAACAATAATTATTTAATAATTGAAAATAACAATATTGTTTATTCTTCAAATAAAAGTATTTTATTCTTTATTTGTAACAAATCTTTCCAAACATATGAAATTCCAAATACCATCACAACTTTAGGAGAATATTGTCTTTCATATTCCGATCTTAAATCAATCACATTACCTAATTCAGTAACAACAATAAGAAGTAAATCCTTTACTAATTCAATACTAACATCAGTCATAATTCCAAAAAACGTAAAAAGTATTGGAGATAATGCTTTCTTTCGATGCTATAATTTGATAAATGTTACATTTTTAGGACATTTAGATTATATTGGTAGTGGAATATTTTGGGATTGCTTAAATCTTGAACACATAATCTTCCCAAAATCAACGATGATTATTAGTGCACATAATTTTATTACAATTGGTGTCTCTAAAGTTTGTATCTCATTAACTAACAAAGCATTATTTTCTTCATTATATGCAATAAGGAAAAATACGAATGTTTCAATTTCATATTTAAACGAATCAAATCTTATTATTACTTCACAACTATTTATTATGAATTCAAATCAAACAATTATCTATGAATTTTGGGGATTTCCCAAAGAATACTATAATGATATAAAAATCCCTAATAATGTAACGACAATCAAAGAAAGCGCATTCGAAAATTCTACAATTAAAAGTATTAATTTTGAATTAGGTTCACAACTTTCTATAATTGAAGATTATGCATTTAGAAACTGTTCAAAGTTGATTTCATTCAATTTTTCTTCTGTTCTTTTAAATATTCTAGGAATTGAATCATTTAAAGACTGTATAAGTTTGACTTCTGTCAGTTTCGCTTCAAGGAGTTTAGTTGTTAGGAAAAATTCATTTGAGAATTGCATTAATTTAGTTGAGGTAATTAATATTTTAAGTGTTTCCAATAATTGTTTTAGTGGATGCCGAAATTTGAAAAATGTAAATATAATAGAAGATTCAAGATTAATTGGTTACAAAGCATTTATGAATTGTTATAATTTAGAGAGCATTAATATTCCATCAACTGTTCATTCTATATCAGAATATTCATTTTTAAACTGTATTAAACTAAAATCAATCAATTTTACTGAAAGGAACAGTTTATATATAATATCAAACTACTCATTTACAGGATGTAATTCGCTTAAAAATTTTAGTGATTTCGAATCAAAAAAATACAGATGCGTTGATAATACTATTTATTCTAAAAATGAAACAGGAGAATATCTCATATATCATCTTAATCTTTCATTAGATAAAACTCTTATTATCAACTGCAGTGTTATCTGCAGTCACTCATTCAATGAATGTAACAACATATATAACATCACTATTCTTCCAAACAGTGTTTCATTGATTGAAAAATATTCATTCAACAATTGTTTAAATCTTCAACACATCAACTTCCCTCTCTCAGTCAAAACTGTTGAATCGTTTTCATTTAATGAATGTCATTCTATTCGATGTCCTCTTATTATTGAGAATACATCTGCTGATTATCTTAAAATGATCATTGAATCAGGAATTCCTCAACATCTTATTTTTTCATGCCATGTTGTTCATAATTCGAATAAATTTAAAATACTTAATGACATATGTAATACTTCAAACAAACTCTTTTGGACGCATCTAATTAAATAAAAACTTTTATTTCTACAAATTAATTAACTCTTTTTGAATGAAATTATCTCATTTACATAAGAATGAAATTATATTTCCAATTGTTCATCTCCAAAAGTCTAATTATGAGTCATTACATACACCAAATCAGAGACTTTTATTGAGAACCCGAAACTCGACTTCAATGAATGATCATCAACTCAGGAATTCCTCGTCAACTCATTCTTTCATGTGGTGTTTATCATGACTCGAACAAACTTCAATCTGTGAAAAGAATTTGTAACACATCAACCAAACTTTTCTTTGGACAACTTTCTAAATTAAATATTATATATTTTCCCATATTATCAATATAGGTTGTTCCACGGGTTCTTTAGCATCACAATGCATAAAGAAGTCCTAGAACAAATTAAGATACATATAGAAATGCTATAAAGTTTTATTATATGTTGCAGTGAATTAGACCATAAATACGACTTGTTGATTAAAAATATGCAAAAAAAGTTGTCTGATAATTTTTCACTATTTTTCTTATATTTTAAAATTGCAATGTTCATCCTAGTTGATGCAAACAAATCAATATGGGTTAAATTTGTCAATTTTTTTAAAAAACTTCATCCTGGATGAATAAGTATCGCCTTATCTCTCTCAACTAGCTTAGTAGAATTTCTACACTTATAGCAATATGTTTAGAATGCAACAGATTATGTCTATGTTGGTATCAATAGACCTATACTCTTACAAAGTGAGATGCTAAATACACCGTGGAACACTCTATAATAAAAAACTAATTTTTATTCATATTTTATTCTATGTGGAATTTTTGTGTTTATTAATATATCCGTGTAAACTTCTTAATATATTATATAAAATCTTCTTGGCAGATATTTATTATTATTCCCTTTAGGAAAAAGCACACATAAATTCTTATGATCAGCAGTGTATAACATTAGACACTTGATAAGATCAAATGCATTAAATAACAAAATCCATCCTTTATCACGACTTCTATTCTTTACAAAGACATCAATCAAAGTTGCTATTCAGATGATGGCAAAACACTTAAATGGGTTAGTGATTCATCACCATACCTCAAAATATCTGCGAAATGTGAAATAATAAATAATCATTGTTTTGAATACCTGAGTACATTGAAATCCTTTTCTTTCGAAGAAAATCCTAGCTTAACAGCAATTGGATCGTATTGCTTTTATCAATGCAGTAATCTTCATATTGTTAACTTATCATCATGCAATAAGCTGATAATAATAAAGGAAAAATCATTTTTCTTTTGCTCTAAAATTTCTGAAATTTTATTGCCAAAAGGACATATTGACATAATAAGTGAAGTTTTTTCATTCAATGATGTTGTAAAAAGTATTGTCATCCCAGCCTCAGTTAAAAATATCGATTCTGCTGCATTTAATGATTTTTATGCTCTCGAAAAGGTAAAATTTGAAGCCGGATCAAATTTAACTTACTTGGGATGGGCATTATTTTCTAAATCTAAGATTACTTCGTTTCAAGTACCAGAAAACGTTAATGGAATTAATGGTTATGCATTTGGTTTTAGCACAATAGAAAAACTCACAATTCATCCACATAATAAGCACTTAGAAGTTGAAGATGGAATTGTATTCTCTGCAAATAAAAGTATAATATTCTATTTTTGTAGCAAATCTTTGGAAACTTATGAAATTCCAGAAACTGTCTCTATTTTGGGAAGATTTAGCTTTTCTAGTTCTAATTTTAAGAAAGTGACATTTTCGAATTCACTAACAATTATCAGAAATGATTGCTTTCAGGGTGCAGGTGTTATCACAATAACAATACCAGAAAGCGTTAAAAGGATTGAATATGATGCATTCCTAAATTGCCGGAGTTTGAAAAATGTTACATTTTTAGGACATTTAGATTGCATTGGTAATTGGGTATTTAAAGGTTGTGATGATATGGAGCTCATTATTTTCCCCAACACAACAATGATTATTAATTATGATTTGTTTCATTCTAGTTACCCTGCAAAATTAAATATTATATTCAATAACAAAACTATATTTTCATCTTCTACAATCAAAAGTAAAACAAATATTTCAATCTCATATATGAATGAATCCGATCTAATTATTACACCAAATTTATTGATTATGAATTCGAATCAAACCATTATTTATGAATATTGGGGGCGCAGCTTTTCAAACTTAAAAATTTTTAAATCAGTAATAATAATTAAAGAAAGTTCGTTTGAAAATTCAGATATATCGATTATCGATTTTTATGAAAATTCACAGCTTTCTAGAATTGAAGATTTTGCTTTTAAAATTGTTCAAGACTATATTCATTTAACTTCTCAGCCACTAGTTTGACTACCTTGGGTTTTGAATCGTTTAAAAATTGTACAAACTTAACATCAGTGAGTTTTGTCTCAAATAATATAAATATCATGAAAAATTCATTTGAGGATTGTATCAGTTTAGAGAATGTGAGTAATATTAATAACATACTTGAAAGTTGTTTTCGTGGATGTGTGAAATTATCTCGCGTGGAAATTGCAGATGATGCAGCTAAAATTGGAATTAAATCATTCGAGAATTGTAATTCATTAGAGAGTATAAAAATTCCTTCGTCTATTAAAACTATATCAGAATATGCCTTTATCAATTGCAGAAACCTTAAAATAATCGAATTCCAACAAAGAAACTCATTAACAAAAATATCAATCAACTCATTTTTGGAGTGCAATTCACTTCAAAGTATAAATAATTTCGAATCGGATAACTATAAATGTATTGATAATACTCTTTATCTCAAAAATGAAACTGGAGAATATCTAATCTTTCATGCATTTAAGTCATCTGATAAGATCCTAAGGATTAATTGCAGTGTTATTTGTAGTTATTCGTTCAATGAGTGTATAGCTATCGAAAAAATCAATATTCTTCCAAATAGTGTTTCATTGATTGAAAAGTATTCATTCAATAAATGTTTTAATCTTCAGCACATCAACTTCCCTCTCTCAGTCCACAGTGTTGAGTCTCATTCCTTCGTTGAATGCCATTCTATTCGATATCCCCTTATTATAGAGAACACATCTAATGATTACATCAAAATGATCATTGAATCAGGAATCTCTCCCCATATTATTATTTCTTGCCAGCCAACTGCCAATCTTCAAGCGATTAAACAACTATTTAATAATTCTCCAAATCTATATTGGAGATATCTTTCCAAATAAAAAGACATCAAAAATAGAATCCGCGTATTTTAATGATTTCGAAAACGAAGTTTGCACTCGCTTTCTCGAATCCTTTTGTGTTGAAATAAGTAATGCATGATATGGATTTTGGTGCATTCGATAACAAAGAAGTGTAATTGTTCATGTTTCTTTCTTCAACTTTCGCGATGACGACTGTTGACTTGAACGATGAAACAATTCTGTTCAGATAGACGAATGTCGAACTATCGATACTTGATGCATCGACAAAATAGAATGATATCGAATTACAGAAAGGAACGAGAATATCAACACTGATTCCTTTCGATTCTCTGAATGTTACTGTCTTTGGGACAATGTTTCTTAAGAACTGGATTATTGAATTGTTCCAAAATTCACTCCTAACAACGATTGCAGACATTTTTTATAATTTCATTTTTTAGTTTACAACAGAGATTGATGTGCTTGAATGATGTAAAATTATTTTCCAAATAAATTGATTAGATAGTGTATTTATATTCTAAATTGCATTTTTATCATATATTCAAAGATTATATTTTCATAGAAATTGAGAAAAAATCTTCTTTTGTAAATTTTAGGGGAAGTTTCTTCCCCATGGCATAAAAGTGTTGCCAATATTGATAATTAATATATGCAATCCATGTTACAAATATACCATCGAATGATTACAGTAGGACACAATATTTTATAAAATTAATTTTATGATTTATAATTTTCTTTCAAAATACTTTCTTATACAATGATATTTGTGATAAAATGCTTACATGATTCAATATGAGTTCGCTTTCATCTCTTAATTACACTGATATTATTGAAAGTTGTTATTCAGAAGATGGTAAAAACCTCACTAAAGTCAATGATACATCACCACACCTCAGGATATCAGCTAAATGCGAATTAATACAAGACAAATGCTTTTACCAACTAAATTCATTAATTTCGTTTTCATTTGAAGATAATCCAAACTTAACAATTATTGGAAAAGAAAGTTTTTATTTTTGCACAAAACTGTCTATTATTAATTTATCAATCTGCAATAAACTTACAAAAATATCAAATTCTGCATTTTATAATTGTGAAGAGGTTACAGAAATTCTTTTGCCAAAAGGGCTAATTGAAATAAATGTAGCTGCATTTCGATATAATATAAAATTGGATCACATCACGATTCCAGCATCAGTGGAAAAAATTGAATCACAAGCTTTTGATACCTGTTTTGAATTAACATATGTTATTTTCGAAGAAGGTTCCAATTTAACCTCATTAGAGAGAACAGCATTTTATTATACCAATATTTCTTCGTTTCAAATTCCAGAAAAAGTCGCATATGTTCATGGTTGGGTATTTTCAAATGAAAAATTAACAAATCTTACAATTCATCCTAATAATAAACACTTAATAATTGAAAATAACAACTATGTGCTTTCATCAAATAAAAGTGTTTTGTTCCATGTTCGTAACAAAACTTTCGAATCATATGAAATTCCAGATTCGGTAACAACTTTAGGATTATGGAGTTTCAGCAGTTCCAGGCTTAAATCTATAGTTTTACCAAGTTCACTCACAAATATTCGGGAAAGTTGCTTTCAATACTCAAAACTCACATCAATCACTTTACCAGAGAATGTGAAAAGGATCGAAAATCAAGCTTTCTATAGTTGTGAGGAATTGATTAATGTTACATTTTTGGGTGCTGTAGAATTCATTGGTTCTCGAGTTTTTCAATATTGTAAAAACCTTGAACTCATTATTTTCCCTAACGTGACAATGACTGTTAGTAGTGATACTTTCAATAAAATGTATATTCCAAAATTAAGTATGGCATTCACTATTAAGACGTTATTTTCTTATAAAGCTATTGATATGAATACCAATGTTTCAATATCATTTATAAATAAATCAGATCTTATCATGACTCCAAATGGATTAATAATGAATTCGAATCAAACTGAGATTTATGGTTTTTGGGGATTATATTTTTCTGTTACAATCCCTAAAAAAGTTACAGTACTCAAAGAAAAAGCATTTGAAAATTCAGACATTTATGGAATAAGTTTTGAAGCAGACTCTCAACTTTCTGCTATTGAAAATTATGCTTTTATTAACTGTTCAAAGTTAAATTCATTAAGTTTTCCTCAGATTTCTTTAAATACTATAGGGATTGGTTCGTTTATAAATTAACTTCAGTGAGTTTTATTTCAACTGATTTAGTTGTTATGAAAAATGCATTTGAGAATTGCAATAGTTTAAATAATATAAACAATATTAAGAATGTTCGAACAATGTGTTTTAGTGGGTGCTCTAATTTGTTAACAATAAATCTTTTAGAAGGCTCAACTATTATAGGTTTTAAATCCTTTGAAAATTGTTATAGATTAGAGAGTATTAGTATTCCGTCTTCTGTAAGAACAATTTCAGAATATGCGTTCTTTAATTGCACAAATCTGAAATCAATAAATTTCAGTCAAACAAACTCTTTGATGAATATATCAATTAATTCATTTTCAGGATGTAAATCACTTAAAAACATAAGTAATTTTGAATCATATAAATACAAATGTATTGATAATACTCTTTATTATAAAAATGACACAAGTGAATATCTTATATATCATACGATAAATGCATCAGAGAAAGTGTTAATTCTCAACTGCAGTGTTATCTGCCGTTATTCATTCAATGAGTGTAATAACATATATAATATCACTATTATTCCAAACACTGTTTCATTGATTCAAAAATATTCATTCAATAAATGTTTGAATCTTCAACATGTTAATTTTCCTTATTCTGTTGAAATTGTTGAATCAAATTCATTTGTTGAATGTCACTCAATTCGATGTCCTCTTATTATTGAGAACACGAAACTCGACTTCATCAGAATGATCATCAACTCAGGAATTCCTCGTCAACTCATTCTTTCATGTGGTGTTTATCATGACTCGAACAAACTTCAATCTGTGAAAAGAATTTGTAACACATCAACCAAACTTTTCTTTGGACAACTTTCTAAATAAAAAATTAAAACTTTTGTCATTTATATTTATCATGTTTCGTGTAGATTCGTAAAAATTAAGAGATGGAAAGAAGAAATTTTTTAATATTATGAGTTTTACAATTTTTCGGACAGGAAAATATTTGAAAGAATTGTTGCAACGATAGAGTGTTTTCAAATTTTGAGTACTTTAAAGATTTTTAAATCTGCCAAAAAATCATTATCCTTCTAATCAATTATTAAAGCAGCAAGTTTTTTCAAAACAATAAATGTCATCAATGATAAAATTAAACCTGTCGATTAGATACCATAGATAATAAGAAGAAAATGGTTGATATTGGTTGTGTGTTGATGCTAACTGAGTTAATTTTCTCTGTTTCTGGTCAACTGGTAGATTGTTTGATTTCATGTAATTATACATAAAACTACCAATTGTTTTTTCATCTGTGATAATATCTAAGTTTCTTATTATCGGTAAAAAGTTTATGTAATCATTAATGTATTTTTCATCAATGTGACCCTTTACTTCAGCCACGAATAAAGTATTTTTCTTTCTAATAATTCCCAATGCTTTTGCTTTCTTTGTTGCTGTATCACAAATGATAACACCATTCAATCTTCCCGGCATATACATTTTATGGTCAGTATATTGAATGAAATCATGAGGATTAGATGAAAATGATGAAGGATATAATGAATTAAAATCAACACCAACGAAATGAGTCATAATGTTGGTGGTGTCCTCATTTGATACAGTTTTAGGTTCTGGATTATATGAAAGTTTATTAATGTGCGTGATTCCTTTAAGATTTACTCTATGTTGAACATTTGATAGACCACCAGTAATTCCATTACGGAGAATGTGATAAGCTTCAACTGAATCTAAAGTCATTGGTAAATTATTTTTTAATGCATAATTTCTTAAATTGATTCTTAAACGTTGAACATCTTCATCTTTATTTGATTTTACGACATTGCAATAACAACACATTAACTGACAATTTTCTTTGGTATGTGGCTTTTCATTATCGATTCTATCCAATGTTGGTTTATTTGCATATGTAAACGCTTTACCACACATTTTGCATTTAGATGAAAGGATTAAATCGTGATAGTATTGAAAATCATCCATTGAAACATTATTTTTAGTATCTCTTTCTGCTTTTTCATCTTGTTTCTTATATGATTCAATTTTATATTTCCAATACTTTTTCGTTAATTCAAAACTTGATTCTATCTCTTCCTCAGGATATTTTTCATTAGGATTAAAGTCTTTATATGCTAAAGCGTAACGAATCATTGAAGCATTCGATGATAAAGAAAGATTATGAAGCGTGTCAATTTTATAAACAAAAGTTTCTTCAATAATTTTATCAATTGGGTCAATCATAATTTCAACATCTTTATTGCAATAATGAATAAAATATTCTAATCTATTCTTAAAATTTTTAGCATCATTGAGATATATTTGATAATCACTATCTGATATAGTTTCTTGAGTTAATGCTGAATAAAATGAATCTTTCGTGAATGGTTCCACTTTATATAATTCTTCTTCGTAATTTTCCCACGTGATGAATTGATAAGGGAAAAAGGATTTAACACGTGATTTATTGTTTCCAAAATCTTGAGTGAATTGGTCTAATGTCCCACCCGCTATATAATTTCTGATGTCAATAAATCTCAATTCATATGGAACGTTTGTTTTCTTTACAATGATTTGCTTAAATTGTGAAGATGAAACCAGCATTGATTTTATTTTCCATTTTGCAGTGTTTAAATCACGAAGAATTAAATTTAAATCAAACTTTCCCGAATTAAAACCTATGATATTCACTTTATTGAATTCCTCATCTAGAAGTTCTTTAAATGCTTCCTTCTGTTTTTCATTTAATGTATGAGACAAAGTCCCCGCCGTTTGCGGCTTCAATAATTCTTCATATTGTTCAATATTTGATTTAGCAACTAATGAACAGGTTGAAAATAAAAACTCAATCCAATCAGAAATAAAAGAATCACTCGAAGTTAAGCAAAAATTCCTCGTATATGTTTTATCATTTAATTTAACCGTTGATGATACCATGAATGGTTTTAAGTAAGCGTTCAAAGTTGCACACTCAGAAAGTTGTAATTCTTCTTTAGTCTCTAATGTTTCGAAGTCAAAAGTAATATAATATCTTGTCGGTTGATAATATTCCTGCAAATTGTGAGCTAATAACCACTGATATATCTTCTGTTTCGTAATATGTGGTGCATATGGTTGCTGTGTCTTTTGCAACTGAACGTCTTGAATTAATCTTCCATTATTTTCTTTACATTTCTCACAATGCTTTAAAAATCTTCTTTGGTTTTTCCTTTCTGGATCATCACGGATAGAATAAACTTCTTCTTTACAATATGGACAAACTCTATAGCCGGTGAGTGCTTCAACGTCTGTTATTCTGTCAGCGTGAAGTTTTCCACATGGACTCTGTGTTAATAAAATATTTATTGTTTCAAATTCTGGATCTATCATTATTGAATCCACTAATGGAAAGTCTACCTTATTTATGTCCACGTCTTCTGGTTGAGGATCACAATAATAGAAATCAATATTAACATTTAACATTCTCGCTAATCTCTCACTTTCTGATGAAATGTCAAACCCTTCATATGAATCTATTGCTTCATTTAAATAACTTCTACGAGTTTTAGGATTAACACCATCAGGAATGTTATAGAAGCGTTTAAATAACCTTCTACCTTCTGCTCTAATTTGATTATCATTCATTTTAGCGGTTCCGTTTTTGTTCATTTATGTAAGAAAAAAAATTAAAAAATAAATAAAAATAAAGTTTATTTTTTAAAGCCCATAAAATGAATTAAGAACACATAAATTTTTATCATCTGCGACGTGACGAATACATTTTAATTTACTCAAGAATGCGTACCCTGATACATTAAATCTAATTCCCGTCTTATTTAATTTCACAACTTTGAAAAGGAATGTATGAATAGCTATAAAATGATGAGAAGATGTTTTATGGGTTGCTTCCATTTTTTCTGAAATAAATGAATAAATATAATGTTTATAAGTTTTCATATCTTTTATATTCTTAATAACGAATGGTATAGACCTTTCAACTTCGTCTTCCTTCGGTGCTGTTCTTTCATATGAAACATTATTAGTATCTTCAATAATGAAACCACAATCACACAAAATTTTATAGGTTCCAATGGTTTCTTTTGATATTTTATCTAATAAATCAAAAACTTTATCAACACCTGTGCATTTATTTAAATAATAATTTGTGTAAATATCATGATCTTCTTTCTTAATCGTATTAGTTGCATATGTCACGTTTTTAAGAGCTTTTTTGAATTTTTCGGAATCTAAAGGTGGTGAAAGTAGGATACAGGGGTATTCTTCATTATCAATAAATTGTAACTTATGTTTACGAATAAATTTAGTACCTTCTTCTGAAAGTGTTTCATCTATTTCGCCATCTAATAAATTTTGTGTTGATTCTGAGACATAATTTTTATATCTTTCTTCATGAGATTTCTGAACTTCTGATTCTGAAGCTGGGATATTCATTAAACCCTCTACTTCATTTTCATTATATTTTTCAACTTCTCTTAATTCCTTAATTTTTTCATCTATTTCATCTCTTATTTTTTCCAGTTTTTCAATTTCATCATATTCATCATCATCTTTAATTCGTTCTTCATAATATTCAGGGAAAACATCAGGTTCTTTAGGTTTTTCTTCTTCAGATGTGGGATATAAGAAATTTATAACATCATCTTTATTCATTTTTCCATCATAATCTAAATCATTTAATAACTCGGCAAATTTTTGACAATTTCTTAAATAATATTTACTAACTTCATAACACATCTCATCTAATATATCCTTTATTTCCTCGTTTGTGAATCCTAATTTTTTAACGTTGTTAGTTTTGACGCTCATTTTCATACGAATTAAAAATAAATTATTCAAAAATGTAAGACATGAATTTTTAAAGTTTATTTTTTAAAAATTTTTTATTTTTTATTTCATTATGGTAGTGAATCTTTTATTCATGAAAATAATTATTTTCAATTTCTTCTTCTCGTTTATGAGGTCTTTGATTATGACTCCATTGATTCCATTCAGGATTTAAACAATGTTTAATTAATCGCGGAATATCTGACATCATCTATATATAGCTTCTTTTATAAAAGATAAAAAATAAATTATTTTAAAATTAATGTTAATTTTTTAAAATGTGTTTATTTCATTATGTATGGGCTGAGTGTAAATGTCTTACAATTTTGAAAATTTTTTAAATCTTGATTTATTCAAAAACGTAAGAATAAAAACCGTAAGAATCATACATTTTTTACTTCATATGTTAAAAAAATGATACAAAATCGCTCGATATTGTATGAATTCTTACGTTTACAAAAAAAGTCACACAACCCTTCCACATATACTACTTGTAATATCTGAGAAAATCGAATTTAAATATTCATAGAAACCCAAATCATTCTCCGGTTCGAATAATTCATCTGTTGCTTTTTCTGTTTTTTCTATGAATTTTAATAATTTGATTAATAAATCTTCATCAGGAAGAATTATTGCTGCATTTGTGATAAAATTCCATATTGAGGTAATATGGCAATAATTACATTTATAAAATGTAATTTTATCCAAAATTTTTTGGCAAATTCGCATAATAGCATTAATATTTGAAGCTGAGATTAAACCTGTGATTACTTCTGTAACTTTTGGAAAATCATCGCAATTTAATATCTCTTTATATTGAATTGAGAAATAAAAAAAATCAAATGGATTCATTTCTTCAATTTCAAGGAGATTGTAAAAATTGATAGAAGTGTTATTGCAACAAATTGTATTTGCAGCAAAAAATATCATTTGCTCGATTCCATTTTTGGAATAAATTTGCTGGAACAATGTTAAATTAAAACAGTTGCTTAATTTTTCTTCATTGTTTTCATAAAAATGTAACAAGTTTGCAACTGAAATTTCAAAATTTTGATAATTGCCAGTTATTTCAGTAAATATATATATTTGCTTTTCTTCATCTAAAAATGGCAAATATTGATTTGCAATATTAACTAAAGTTTGGGATAAATTGTTCCAGTTTGATTTTACAATTTGTGAGCACATTATGTAATATGTAAATTTATCCGCTTTGTAGGAATTTAAAATTGTTTGTTGTTCTGTTTCAGTTAAATTACTGAATTTTTCAAGATTAATATTGTGATAAAAAATAGAATCCTTGAAACATTCTGATATCTTTTCAATGTTTAAAACGGATGCTAAAAAATGTAAAAGAACTTCATCAGTCACTGTGATTTTTTTGAAAAATTTATCCCAATTCAAGCATCCAATTGATCTTTCTGTCATTGTACTTATGCATTGATAAAGTTGATTTAATGAATCCGAAGAATAATCATTATGCTTGACTAGTTGAGTTAGTTGATACAGACTGTCGTCAGCCATTTTAAAAAAATGAATAAAATTGTATAGTAAATTATATTTGTGAAATTTGTGACGCTACATTCAATCTAAGACCAATATCTCAAAGAATTCCTCATTTAAGTATTACTTTTCATTGTTTTTTAAAAAATATCTTTGCTTATTTGTTCACTTTTTTGACATTTATTATATGCTTTTTATCATATTTCCGATGATATGAATATATATTCTATATAAGAATGACGCTACATTCAATCTAAGACCAATATCTCAAAGAATTCCTCATTTAAGTATTACTTTTCATTTTTGATTCAATTTTCGAACGGTTTTCGTAAATTTTGCATCATTTCATTTTTTAATGGGAAAATCATCTATATTTAATCAAAAAAGAGCAAACTTTACAGACGAAAATAAAATATTTATCAGGGAACAATCTGATAAATACCAAAAATCAACATCGAGAGATGAAAAAACGAATATAATCAAACAAGTTCTTCAATATTTTAATATTAAATACGCCGAAAATGAATCTAAAGCTGTCAGAAGATATTTTAGTTATATTGCAGTTAAAAATATTCCCGCAGTTACTGGAAAATATCCTGATACAATTGTTCGCAAAGATATGCTTTATTCGCATGATCATACAAATATTATTAATTCAAATAATATTGAACGTTACTACCGTTGCATCGATCATTCTTGTCAAGCACGTTATTTAGTTAAAATTGAGAACAGTTCAGTTTCCGAAGATTTACAAAAGGAACATATACCCGAATGCAGACAATTTAAAAAGTTACAAAATGAAAAAAATGATCTTCATAAATCAATGACTCTGACAGAAATATACAATAAGGCAATGGCAAAATTTTCTGAAGACAACGGCACTTTTCAGCAGATTAAAAAATTTATGACAGAACTTGCTGTTGGTACTGATGAAAACCCATTAATTAAAGATTCATTGGTCAGGGAAGTTTATAATAAGTCCAGAAAATTTTCTGTTGGAGAAAAAATTACAGACGATGAAATTGCTAATTTTTGTTTAATAAATGGCGAGCAGTTTTTCATTGGCCATGATTTTCAAGCAAATTGTGAGACGATGTTTTTTGGTTTTGAGAAGGCAATTCAATTTGCAAAAGAAGCCACAGATTTATTTTGCGATGGAACTTTTAAAATTACACCAAAACATTTTCAAAAAGGACAGATGCTAACAATTATGATTTGTGAACCTTCAACAAATCAATATCTACCACTTTTATTTATATTCATGAAAAACCGCACATTTGAATCTTATAAGAAGGCATTTGAATATATTTTTACTGTCAAGGGTATTCAATTTTCAAAGCTAATTCAAATTCATTGTGATTTTGAAAAGGGAATGATAGAGGCACTTCAACAAATTTTCCCTAAAGTCCGTATAATTGGATGCCTATTTCATTTCAAACAAGCTTTACACAGGAAACTTGTAGCACTTTATACAAAAAATTTCAATACTTTACAAAATTCTTTATTTAAGCTATATTCTATTACTCCATTCATGTCTCATGAAGAATTTGTACTTACAATGCATATAATTAATCAAAATAAAGTTGATTCGATCAAAGATTATATTGATTATTTCAACAAAGTTTGGTTGCCGCACTACAATTTAATATCTCAATATAATAATGCAACTGCAATATTCACTAATGATTGCCTCGAGAGTATGCATTCAGAATTTTCTTCGTTAAAACATCCAAACATTTATGAAGCTATTAAGAAGATATCTCAAATCCAATTAGATAAATATAACGCCATCAAAAATAACCAGAAGATCGAGCGCCATATAAAAACCGTTATCACTGATAGCTACAAAAATTATATTCTTGACTGCTTTCAAAAAGAACTTGAGAAAACAATTTTTTCTATCAAACAATACAACGTAAGTGATCTTTCTTTGGCTCAGAACGAGATTTCTCCATATGGTTCCATAGAATCGAGTTCATTGTTCGAAAATATTCCAGTTCATGATGCAGATATACTCAAATCGATCGATCTAACAGATAAAGATACAATGATCACTAAGTTTATTAATGAAAAAAGAGAAAAAATTATGGCATTATTTAATGAAACATTAAATCATCCAGATTTTAATTCATCCACTCCAATTCAAACTAATTTTGAGCAAGCCGATACAAATCAAGGTTCAGATGCTCCAATTCGCTCCGAAAATTCAAATATTGCAGACTCTACAGATTTAGAACCAGAAAATCAAAACCATCCTTCTACAAATCAAATGTCTAGTAATCTAGAACATAAGCTGGACCTTCTTGATCATATTGAAAAACAATTATCGAAAATGCGCTCGTTATTGGGAATTCTTCCTACTACAAATGCTATTGTTGGGCCGTCAAAACAAGTTTCAGTTAATAGCAAGCAAAATTCTGAAAAAAATAAGAAAAAATCTTCCATAACAACAAAATCAAACAATAAAAAACAAAATTCATCCGACAATCCTCCTAAACGTAAAGCTCCTATTTCGGAAAGGATTCTCAGCGATAATAACTTATATTTTCAAGTTCATCGAAAGAGATCGAAAAGCAAACGTTCCACATCTACAGAGAAAAAGAATTGATATATGAAGTCTAATTCCTTTTATAACTACTATATTTTTATTCTTATGACTAAAAAATAATATATTATTTAACAATTTTCATTTTTTTCTTTTAACAATTTCGTTTTATTTCCATTTATTGTTAAATGATTTTTAGCATACACCTTTCTTTGTTCATCTTCTAAATACAATTTATTTTTTCTTAGATATAATTCTATTCATTCAATTCGATCGTCATTTTTCAGTACATGATCGTAATTTTCAATTATTGATCGCGATTTTACTTCAGAATTTGTTTGCAATATTGCTTATCAAAATTATATCTCTATTCTCTCATTTCTGTTTAGTCAATATCATTACACTCCTATTGTCTAATAACATGCTATTAATTTTCTTAAAATTAAAAAAAAAATATCAACTTTTAAAAACAGAAACTTAACATCCTTAGGTCAATGGATTTTGATGTGAGATACATTTAATCTGTTTTTCTTTTTTTATTTTAAATAATTGAATATTTATAGTTGTTATGGGTCTTACATCATGTAAAACGAATTTTCTTAAAGTAAATTTACTTTTTCTTCAATCTTTCTTACATATTTATTAAAAAAAATTATCCAAAAAAAGATGTTTTAGAATGAAAAAAAAATAGAAAAATTTTCATTTATAGTCTTTCTTGAATGTATACGTTTTGATTTTTTTCTTTTTTAAAAAATTCAATTTCTAGAAAAATCGAGAAAAAATCATTTTCTTCTATTTTTTAGGACGCCATACCCATTGAAATCTCCTCTCAGGACGCCATAAACTATTCAATTATGGTGTAAACTTCTCAAAAATTGAATAGTTTACATCAGGACGCCTTAGGACGCCAACCCTTTACGCGCCCAATAACATTTTGATGAAATTTCAAGTTTTGAACACTCTAACATTTTGTTACTAAATAACAGATTTATTGAAAAATAAAGGATGTTAACTGTCAGTGCTTTGATTTTAAAAATTTATTCATTAATATTTTTATTATATTATGAGGAGATTCGTAAAAATAATAAGCACATCAAATCCTGAGGAATGCATCTATCTTCAGTGCTGTATTTTGGCTCGATTTCAACAGTAATGTTCTAATCGGTAAACGTTTTAATCAAAAATCCAGAAATGGATTGAAATATGCTTTAAGAATGCACTTTCTGGTACTCTATCAATCTTTTGGAAACATCTGATTAAGGGCTTACTTAAGTAAATTGAAATTTCATGTAACATACGTGAAACATCTTTGATAATCAACAGAAAATATCGCCAATAACTCTTCAAGAGATTGAATCATAATTATGCACTTATCACTTTCAAAGTATTTTTGAATTGAAAAAGAATTAATTTATTTTTTTGTTTGTAAAAAGTTATTATAAGTCAGTATGCAGAGCGTAATGTATATGTTATACTTTTTTTTACTATTAAAACAAGGATTTATTGTTTTTATGAGAGAATATCATAAAAAAAATCATAAATTAACTAAAAAAAATCCATAATTTAAAAATTCAATTAATTAAAGGTCTTTCTCATCATCAAGGTCGTTCTTAAGGTCATTGAAGATGTCATCTGTCTGTTGCTTAGACTTATCACTCTTCTTAGACTTCTTTCCCTTAAGTTTCTCTACAGCTTCAAGAAGGTGTTTAGAGTTGATCTTGAGATCTGTTTGTGCATCCTTGAGTTGTTCGAGACTCAAGTTGTTGAGTGATCCTTCTTCAACCATCTTCATGTACTTCTTCAATGTTGAGAAGACTTCGACTGGAACTGATTCCTCATTAAGTCCCTTCTCTGAAAGTTTCTTCTGTATATCGCTGTAGATTTGGTTGACCATTGTTTCTACCTTCAAAACTTCAGAACGCTGGACTTTTACGAACTTCTTAGATTCAATGAATGCATCAGTGAAATTGGAGTGAAGAGGTTGTTGTGATGGTGAAACAGGAATAACTGTTCCATAGATTGGAACGCAATGTGTGTTGTTTGTGCAGTAACGAAGTCCTTGAACTTCTGTAGATGGTACTTTAAGATGTACTTCAATGAATGACTTATCACTGATATCTGTAGCATTACTATAGTTACTGTATCTGATGATGTACTGTACATTAGCTGCACCTTCTGGGAGATCATCGCTTGTAACTGCAACATATAAGAACTCTGTTGTATTTGGAACATTGTACAAACGAACAGGAGATGAACATGATGAACCTGATCTGCAGTACAAATCTGTCTTTCCGCCAGATTCAACAAAAATTGATGATGATGGATGCTGGTCAACATGAAGTGTTGGACATGTAAGAGAGCCGTCAATCATCTGGCGAAGGTAGATGATGCCTTTAGCAATGGCTTCGTTTGGATTGAACTCGTGGAGAACGTTCTTGCAGCCTGTTGCTTTGGTAATAAGTTTGTTGAAGAATGAAATACGTGAGGAACCTCCAAAGACTTGGATTTCGTCGATTTCACCTGAATTTCCTGATCCCTTATGTTGCTGGAGGTAGTTCTTCATTTGTTCGGCTGCCTGTGAGACAACATTGATCATCTCATGGACTGGTTCTGAAATGTTGTCGAAATATTGGCTTGGCTGCTTCTCGGCGAAGAATGCGGTGGCTTTCTTCATGGAAATCTTCCTTGCAGCGGAAATACCCTTTGTAAAGTAGTATGAACCGGTTGTTTCGGACCATGATGTGCCTGTTTCGTTGGCAAAACTGTAATTTCCGCGATTTGAGAAAACATAGCCGTAAGCTTTGACTGATGTTGATCCGATATCGACAAAGAGGACATTTCTTGGGTTTGCATTGTATTTCTGGTAGTTGATGGCTCCGTAATGAGAAGCAACTGCATCTTTGTCATCAACAATGTGGAGAACCTTCATGCCGGCATTGTTGGCAGCGGATGCAATCTCCTGACGCATGATGGATGTCCAATAGAATGGAACAGCAAAGATAACATCAGGTTCGTATGTGAATGTGTTTGAAACGTCTTGGAGAAGTAATTTCATGGATTCATATGGTGAAAAGACACTAGATGAATGGAATGTGGAGTTTGAGCGTCCAAAAGCACGAGCTAAGTACTCATGACCGAATTCTGGATGAGCTTTAAGAGTTTTAAGGGCAGCATTGCCAAAACGAACTTCTGCAGATGAGAGGTATTCTGTTGAGTTGTATTCGTTAACAAATTTTATCTTTCTGGCAGCAACTGCGCCACGGAAATTCTTTCCATTTGGATTGAACTTCATTTTTGGTTCACCAAGAATGGTGGACTCTGCCATTTTCAAGTATTCACTGCCAAGGTCAATACCAAGGTACTGGACACCAATGCTGAAAAGCAAAAACGACATTATTTAAGTATACGGCCAAATATAGATATCAGAATTTCAATACTTTACTTTAAAACTGTCATTTTTGTTTCAAATTCACTTCATCAGATTTTTAAAAAACTTGTAGGTCTTATAAAACTATACATGTTGTAAAAATACGAAGCAAAATTTCTTGGATTTGTAAAAAAAGTTCAAAAATGCTTGACAAAATATACAAAATATTGATGGATTAGCATCGATTGATTGTACTGATGCAATCTAATATTAATAATGCTTAAATAGCCGGAATTAGTAAAATAATATTTTTAACAATTAGGAAAGAAAACAAACAAATATAAAAATATCGGTCTTAGGCTGAATCATTATCGTCTGAGTTGGATGTCTCTTTATACTTTCGGCTCCGTTTATCAGGATCAAACATGAAGATCTTTATGCCTGCTTCTTCAGCAATCAATATGTTCTTTTTAAGCCAGTCAATGTGATGGTCAAGTATATTGTATGCAATTAGCTGATTTTTGATAGCAACTCTAAAATTCCTTCTCTCTTCCTCTGTGAGTGGAGCATTTCTCAGAAAGCTTTGGATGATAACAATTGGTACCTTCTCTTTATCAGTATAATGCAAGTGTTCTTTAAGAATTTTATAAGTTTGTGTATCTCTGATATCTTCGCAATTTTGAGTTCCTTCTTCCATTTTCTTCCTATCATATGATGTAGAACTTCTAGTTTTCACCTTTTTAGATAGTTTTATCATTTCTGGCTTGGGATCCTCTGCAATATTCAGATAAAGTGCAAGTATTTTCTCTACCATTTGTCGTTTTTTCTTGAAGTCACTCTCACTGATGAAATTTGCATTAAGTTTTTCTGCTCGTTTGTTGAACTCGTCAATGAAATTTACCGACATTTAAATAATCTACCTGAAATTTATCGAATCTGGCTAAAATTGACATTTGGCATATCTAGGAAAACTTTTAATAAATCACATGTTAAGACATCACCAAAATTTTCCTGATTTTACAAAAATTTTCAGCAGTGTAAAATATCCGTAATTGATTTTCTTCAACAAACCATGAGCAGACATGCTGAAAAGTATTTATCTATGATAATATCAAATAACTGTTTTATTTAAAAAAAAAATAAATATCATAATGACAACAAAATGAAATTATTAGATGAATAGGAACAGTAGCTTAAAGGCATGTCTTTGATTGATAGATCTCACGGTTCTTGATACCGCATTGCTTATTCATTGTAGCTTGTTCCATGTATTGTTCTCTTGAGATGGACATTGAAACCTCCTTTGTATCTGGGAATCTGGAGAATGGAGATGGAGTCTTCAATGGTTTGATTGACTTCGTCATGATCAAATTCTTGAATGGTTCCTCTGTAAAGTTCTCCATGTAGTTACTTCTAGGAAGTATTGGATTTGCATTCATGGATCTTGATACAACTGTTGATCCACCGGTTGTTAACGGACGAGAGCCTGTTGTAGAATCGCCAAGATTACGAGTACGATGGCCTGGTGGTTTCTCATAGATGTGGTCTTCCTTAAGTGTTCCTTTAACAATTTTTGATTCTTGGTATGGATCAAGATTTGTTCCGGAAAGTGGGTTGATTGGATAGCCCTTAGCTTTCTCCTCGCAGTAATCAGTGAGTATCTTTAAGTACGTAGCATTTGTATCAACAAACGGATAAAATTTCTGATAAAATTCTGGATTGAAAAGCTTCTTAGCATAGCAATGGCCAACAGAAGGTGCCATGTTAATCGATCTTGTTCTTACTGTTGTTGTACTTGGTCTTTCACCTCCGTATTCGAAAACGCCGAACTCTCTGATAGCTGAGTAGTAATGGCGAGGATCTTTCTGAAGGATAACGTTCTGATTGAAAGATCTGTTTAAGTCGATTGTATATTGACCTGTTCTCAAAACAAATTCTGGATCATTTAATATTTCTGTGCATTTTCTTGTCTTCATTCCGACTTTATCTTTTCCATGAGCACACTGGAGCATGGCAAAAAGCTTCCTTCTTTTTGAATCTTTTGCCATTAATGCCCATGTATACATTGGAGGATAAAAACAAGGCTGAAAAGCCTCCTTAAGGAGATTAAGATCTGATTGGGACAAGCCGCGTGTCTTTTCATAGTCTTCGACAATAGCTGCCGTAGAGAGTTTGACTGTCCTCATATTTAATTAATATTTATTCGTTAGATTCAATTTTTTTGTACGTTATTTCAGAATTGTATTCACATATAGAACATCCAAACGTAAATATTGTGAAATATGATTCTAGACATATAATTTGGTCAAACAATCATTTTTAGATAATTTAGACTTTTGAAAGGGAATCAATCAGAAGTTATCCATAAAAGTTATGACGAGACCTGACAAAAGTATACATTTTTGTGCGTTCTAAACTCATCTAACAAACTCGCAAGGTCATTCCTAAACATTTTTAATGCACCAAATTTAAAATGCTCAAACATCATATAAGTTTTAAGTACGAAAAAATTGCTTGCTCTAATTCCAAGTCATAACAGAATTCTGGGTTATAAAAGCCAAAAATATAAAAAATTATATCCAGAAAAGTAGAGAATATTTTTCTCCTTTTCAATCTAACATACTTTTTCATTTACAATAGAATAGTTCAATCTAACATAAAGGTACTAATATGAGATTTTAATAAAAAAACTATAATTAATGAGAAAACATGAATAAATAAAGAGGAATTCAATAGATAATCACCAAATAATATTGAAATCTCTAAGATCTACTCATTGAAAGCTTGAATTATTGGAAAAATTATTTTATGTTTTTCCAATGATTCCGATTTCTCTTGTATGATTAGTTAAAAAACTTTCCATGTTTCATATAACTTTTTCTTACAATTTTTTATTTTTTTGTCAAAAAAAAAAGAAAATTTCAATATATCTATATGAAACAAATGTATACAAAACAATAATATGGAAAGATCTAACGCAAATTAAGCACTTATCTCTACCGGAGATGATGAGATTGAATAATTGAACTCTTTGAAAGTCGAATCGATGAAACCTGTCGTTTCGATATGATCATCGCTATCATTTTCGAATTGGCAGAGCGATACTGACTTATCTTCTCCGATAGTGATTGTAGCGCCAAGATTGCCCGTTTGGTGATTAACGGAGCTAAAAACTGTGACACAATTGCACTCAGAACCAAATGGAAGTTCGTATCCCTCTTGGCAAACTTCATGGCCGCGAATCAGGTAAGTGACGCCGTTCTTCTCGAAGAAGGAAGCAAGAGCCTTCTTACCGAAGTAGAGGCCAGCCCTTCTTGCTGTGTTGTATTCGAAGTCGTCATATAAGAGATTCTGTTTGGGATCGGACCAAAGCATCTGTTCTTGGATATTTTTGTATTCTAAGGGGAATGGTCGCTTAACTTGAGAAATCTCCTCAAGTGACATATCTGTTTGTGGAATTCCTCCGTGGACACAGAAGATGTCATGGTTGACAACTGCGCCGAGAGGCATGACATTAAAGGCTTTGATGATGCTCTTGAAGAAAGGCATGTCAACGTGGCAGACGCAATCGTTTCTGAAGTTATACTTCTTTGATACTGCTGAGCACTCGTGATTTCCTCTGATAAGGTAGATCCTGCTTGGAGTGAGGATTTTTAATGCAAAAAGCAAAAGTACGACTTCGATTGAGTTTGGTCCGCGGTCAACATAATCCCCTAAAAAGATGTATTTTGTGATGTTAGGGTATCCTTTCTTCTCGAAAATCGTCATTAAGCTTGTAAGGTCTCCGTGAATATCTCCCACAACCTCGTACTCGCCGTCGATGTAAAGAATTGTTTTTTCTTGTTTCATCAATGAACGGGTGGATCGAATTACTTTCTTCATATCTTCGACCGGCGGAAGAGATGTGGCTTGAAGGCCATCACGGTGGCTCTTCAAAATGTGACCCAAGACTGAGCATGCTGCTGCAATACTCATTCCTTAAAGTACCCTCAAACCGCAAAAAGTCATTGAAAACATTCAATGTGTATGTAACTTTTGAGAAAGAACAAAATTTAATATTTGCATATACAATAATAATGCAATCAAAATTTTGCGAATTTGATCCCCATTATAACGTACGGCTACTTAATTTTATTAAGATATTTGGGAATATATCTGAAATTATGCACTTTATTTCTAAAATTTTGACATTGAGGCAAAGATTTTGAGATATGAATTTTAAGAAAAATTTTGGGAACATATAGAAAATATATATCTGAGTGAAAATACAAGGAAAATTTCGGGGTTAATATAAAAATTGAATTGTTTATTTGTTATCCTGACATATTGAAAAATTCAATAGCAATCATCATATGACCAACGATGAAAAATACTTTATTGACTTCCATGAAAACAGTAATTTTAAACAGTTTATCACTCAGGCGTGTTCCCTGCAAAATAAGTTTTCCAACATTTGACTCTAAAAAATAACAAATTTTATATTAAATTTTGAAAATTCTAAAAAATTTGGAAAAATCCGGAAAATAAAAACAATTTTATGAAGAATTTAAACGAAGAAATCATTATATTATTCATAAAAGGTTTATATTTCATAAAAAAATTAAAATATTCTTTTTAATTGAGATCTCAATAATTATACCAAAGTTAACGATTTAATGAACATAATCTAAAGATTTATACTCATTTTCATTTTGCTAAGAAAGATTGCATGAAGATGGGCTTTCAACGTAAGTAGCTAATGAAAACAATCATATCTTGATTTTTATTTTCTTTATTTCCCAAAAATTTGCTGATTGATACTAATTACAGATCAACATGATTGCGTTTTGCAAGCAATTGATCTCCAAATGACATATTTTATCTCAATTTTTATTGAAAATTTTATTTGAATGGAAATGTAAAAATTACGGTCTTCTCAAATGGTTTCATTTTTTCTATTGGCTTTTGCAGCCATATTCACTTTCAAGAAAAGTTGAAATTTAAGATTATTGCAATGAATAAAACTGTAATACTCACTCCGCACTAAATTTTAAGCAAGATTCGTCGAACAATTTTTATTGTCGAGCATTTCTAGTTAAATTACATAATTATTAAATTTGATCCATCACGATTTACCAAAATTAAATATCACTCATCAAATATATTATGCATCAAATCACATGGACAGAATTTCTTCATACAAACAATCAAATTAATCATCAACTATAATCACTCTTAGCATTTTAACCCGACATCACTCGCTTTCAATCACGAACTCCGACATTTTATACCTATTTTTGTATTTTTTTTGAGTATTTCTCTCTTTACAGCATTGTTTTATATCTGATGTGATACTCATACGAATGTTTATATGCATAATCTCATTTTTTGAGTAATTTACTATGAATGAAATACGAGCCATGTAATGTTTCGTCGTTTCAAGGACTTTGCCCATGAGATTTTGATATTTGACCTCTGATGTGTTAAATTTGCAACTGTATAAGGTTTTATCCAAAAATTGACATTTAATAAAAAATCTTCTGAGTCGTTTTATCTTGTAATGATTGACTGGTTTGACGAACCTATGCCACATTACAGAAGTTTTGCTCGAATGGGATCAGGCGTTTATGATTATATGTCCCATTGGTCGGAATCTGTATTCCGCCAAATGGAAAAAGAATTCAGTGAAATATACGATTCATCATTTAATCGGAAAGACCGTAATTCATTTGCAAAATTTTCGAAAAATCCAAAATTACTAAACAAAGATGTAGATCCTTCTCTTGAAGAGGATGAAAATAATGACAATGAAGAAACACCATACTATACATGCAACTCATCAATACATACAACTTCGGATGGCTATCAGCGAATATATCGTGAAGAATTAGACTCAAAAAGCGGAATACGGCGAACGATAGAAACGCGAAGAATCGGTAATAAATCTCTTACTATTCAAAAAATCTTCCAAAAAGATGGATCATGTTTCGAACATGAAATACGAAAGAATATAAAACCAGATGAGATCGACCAATTTAACAAGCAGTGGTCATTACGTTATTAGAATACATTGTTTTTGTAATATTAATATAAAAAAATGTTTTGAAGTTTCTTTTACTTTTCAATCAATATTTCAGACTTATTAATAGGTAAGTATGAATGTAATGCTATCAATTACTTAAAATTAGTTAAATCAATTTTTTCACATTTTAATCGTAATCAAATAGTCAGATTATGGTTGTTTTAAGTTCCATGATCTGTAAATTGTTTCGATGAACTGCTGATCAGTGTTGAAGTTTGGACTGACTTCGCGATAGTAAAGATTGAACTCTTCTTTTGTAATAGAGTTATCGCCATTTTTATCGAATGATCTGAAAAGATTCTGAGCAATGTTTTGTTGGTCAGATTGAGTGAGGTTTGGATTACGGATGCGAATATCATTGAGATCGAAGGTTCCTGACTTATCAGCATCAAGCTGGTTGAAAACATCATCAATAGCACCCTGGCGAGCAGCATTCATTGGGGGTCCGAGGTAGAAAACAAATTCATCGAAGTCAATTGAACCGTCTCCATTACGATCAAGAAGAACGCCAAGTTCAGCAATTTCAGCCTTATTTAAAAGAACGCCAATATCTCCCATGAGCTTTGGAAACTCGTTCTTAAGATCAATCTTTCTATCTCCATTGTCATCAGCAATTCTGAAAAGGCGACCAAGGCCCTGAATGCCAGTTGAACCTCTGGAGATGATTTTTGCACGAATGCGAGCAAGAAGCTCTTCTAAAGAAGGCTTGATGGATACACTCATAAATTAAAAAACCGTCACTATCTTTATTTCTCGATTCCAGTCAAATAAAAGAGTCCTGCATATCATTCTGAGTTGAAAAATAAAGCTTTTTATTCAAAGTTTACACATTTTATCTGACATTTTTTTTATTCTTTGGATAATATGCCGAAATAATCAATTTGAACCACCATGATTTATTTTTCTGGCAACCACACATTCATTATTAGTAATGTATCATACATTTTTTCGGGTTTTTGACATCAATGTTTCTAAACGAAATTGGAATATGTTTTATTGTATCTTAACGGAAGTATATTATTTGATTCCATTATTTGAACTATTAGAGATAGCTTGGTAATGCCCAAAACCTCATCAAAGTTGTCTGATTTTTCAAAACAATATTAATTTAGATAATATCCACATACATAATAATTTAACAGGAGAGAGGATACGAGTCAATCAAAAAATATATACCAACCGATCAGTTTTTCATCAAAGATGATCATGAGGTTTCCATTTTAAAAGACATCGATGGCGATTCAATCTAGAGGCCATGTTGAATATGAAATTACATTTAAAAATGTTGATTAAGAGAACACAAAAGAACAGTAAAATAAAACCGTTTTTACCATTTGATAGAAAGAACCTTACACACTCACAAAGGTTTCAATTCTACAAAAACACAATTTTTATCGAACATAATGATGGCAATAGCCGTTATTACATTGAAATTTTTAAGATAGTTACAAATATTAAAAATATGCACTCTATAATGGCAAATCAAATTTCTTAATTTTCGATATTTTTCAGATATTGATTTTTAATAATAATATTGTGCACATGAAATGCAACAATTATGCAAAGTTTTCAGGAGTTATTGTATTCAACAAAATTGAATAGTCCTCATTTTTATAATGAGTCATTCCAGCCAAATTGGAAGGATTTGTTCATACGGTCCTTGGTTCCTGATTTGTGTTCTCCCTTTTCTTGCAATATATGTAACAAAGTTTAAGTATAAAGTGAAGAAAATCTACGTTGATGAAAACATTCCACTTTATAATTACAGTGATAAGCCAGTTGTAGTTTCGCATTTAACAGACATTCACGTAACTCCCAATAATCCAGATGCTCGCGCAAGATTAAACCGTTCTCTCAGTTATATTCACAGAAAAGTTAAACCATCGTGGGCTCTTATAAGTGGTGATTTGGTTGATAACTACGTTGGAAGTAAATCTCCTACCGCTTCTTATCAACATGAAGATCATTGGAAAATCTATGCAGATGCAATTAATTCATCCGGAATTTCGAAAGAGGAACTTTTTGAGATTTTTGGAAATCATGATCTCTGGGGACTTACTGAATGGGATCCAGTTAATTCTCTACCTGCAAAATATACTACTACAGAAATGCCAGATTTTACAGCATTTTCTCACGAAAGGCGCAATGTCAGAATAGTCGCTTTTACACCACAAGAATTCCCAACAGGATATGGTCCACTTGCATTTATTCTCGCAATTCTTCCGAAGCATCTTGACCGATTAGAAGAAATTCTCAAACAACCAACCAATTGCAAATATACTATTTTAACCTGCCATTATACACATGAGTTATTATATCCGCGTTCAGCAAAATCAAAATCAGGTCTCACATTCAAAGATATGCTTAAACATTACAATATTACAGTATACCTTAATGGCCATACTCACCCACGTAAGATTGAACCAGTTCACTACGGTGGTGTTATGGAATTAACTGCCAGAGCCACTAAAGTTTCATCAGATCTTACAATTCTTACCTTAGATAACAACAGAATTAACTATAAATCAATAAATCAATACAGCGAATACAATGCAATCATATCACATCCAGTTCCACAGCATCTTCAGGTTGCAAATACAAAAGATACAACATTTCCAATAAATGTCATATCATTTGATCCATCTCAGACCAAAGTATTCAACGTATCAGGTGATGCTACAGGTACTCTTACATTTAAAGAGTATATCGATGAAGAAAACAGTGTTGCCTTATATCAGATGAATGCGACCTTCGAAAGTGGCATCCATACAATATACATCACAGGAGATCTTACAGATAATGTTACTTTTGCTGTTAATTGCGAGTCAGGACCTTTCTATGAGTCTCAAAGATCATTGATTGATCCAAAGACAGGTATGGTCGGTTTTCCGATGATGTTCATCTTATTTGGAATCATAACTATATTTATTTGGGTTCCTTTCCCTTATTTCAATGATACAGCAAGTTATATTATTGGATCTGGCCAAGCTGTCAACTGGTGGCTCATAATTTTCTGCGGACCAATAGTTGTAGGAAGAGCGCTCTCTAAACTTGAGATTTGGATCAAGATTTTCCTCACAATCGTTGTTTTGTGGGAAATTTGCCTTCCAATAACACTTTATAACTTCGAAGGCAATCTGGCTATGTTCTTCATATGGGGATACGTTACAAAAGGCAAGTACGTCAAAGATGTCTTTTCATATGTTTGTGGTTTTGTTGCTTTCACAGGTTTCATCTCGGATATCGTTTTTGCAGGCCTTGTTTACCTATCTATCCTTAATATTGGCTGGAGTTATTACCATTTATTCGATCTTTGCGTTTTGATCGGAACTCTTGGTTTTGGATACTGGTTCTGCAACCTATATGTTGGCGAAATCGCTTACTACGGCGTTTGGGTCGGTTCTTTCCCTTATTTTATCTTTCCGGTCCTTGCAATTATTATTTACGCTGTTAGTGCCTTCTTCTACTATAGAAAGCCAACACAGCCAGATGTAAGTTCGGAGTCAGACCAAGAAATCAAAGATGGAAACACAAAACTTGTTCAGCCATAATTTTGTTTGTTTATTATATAAATATTTACTATAGAGTCTTATATTAAATATCCATTGTATACTGTCATAATGACCTTTCAACTTATTTTGAATAGTTAGTTGAAAAAGTAACAAATTATATTTCATTTCAGAAGGTTTATGGACTAGTCGTTGCAGGAACAACAGGAAATAAGTTCTCAAGTTTACGCGTCGAATTCGCGCTTTGAACATTGTATCTCTTTGATGAATTTTATCAAAATTATGTATCCCAAACATTGATCGAACAAATCTACTCCCAAAAATATTTGACTATTATTTTATGTGTGGCTAATAGCGTAAACTCATTATTCTATTCGCTATTTTTAGAAATGGGATCTATAAACTTTAAATGTTAATAAAATAGGCCGAAAAATCACTAACAAATAATAATTACTCATTAAAATTCGAAAAACAGTAGTCAAGATTTTTTTTCAAATTTCGAGAATTATGAGCGATATCATAGAAACATTGTGCTAATCACAATTAACTAGTTTAGGGGAATTTATAAACTTTTTCGATTTGACAGAAAAGATCCTCCCATCATTCAAAATAATTGGTTTTACAATATTTGAAAAAACTATTATAAACATCTAAACCACTAGTATTTAACTTTTTGTGTTCTAATTTTTTTGGGACAAATTGTGAAAAAAGTACGTTACTCATTCAAATCGTCAACGTGCTTTTTACATCGTATTAATGACCTTGAAATTATTATCCTTTTACTTGGTTGAACCAGGTTTTTCAGTGAAACAAATTACAGCTAACCGAGAAAGCAAGGTTGAAACACTAAACACAGTTCTCCAAAAGAAAATGCGCTTCATCTTGAATGGATGTGAGCTTCCTACATCATTTTCCTTTGAAAAAGTCGGTGTAACTGATGGGAGCGTAATACTATGCATAAGCATTGATTCTACACCCAATCAAAAAGCTTTAAAGGCATTCCCTTCAGATTTAAGCAACATGATTCAATGTTCAGTTGATCCTTCCATATCAAGAGAAAAGGCCCGTCTCCTTGACTTAAGACAGGATCAAATTGATAATAATCCAAAGAAATTTAGGACTTTTTTGAAGTTACAGAACTTCCAAGATAGAGATTGGTAATGCCTTGGATCCCTTTGATTTTTCATATTATTATATTATGTTATTATTGTGCGCATTATTGTAAATATTTATGTAGTTTTTATTTTTACTGGCCAGTTTAATACACTTCTTATTCCCAAAAAGAATTCAAGTTGACCTCATCAATGTACATCTCATTTTATAAAAGAATATAATGACTCGATAAATTTTATCGTGATAATTATATCATTTATTCCATTCACAAAGACATACATTCGACTATTTTATATGTATGAAATCCGATTATACGGTTTCTTCGTTTAGTAGATATAAGATTTCGTGATTTCAAACACTCTTTACACTCGGAAAATTTACATTTGTAAATCATTCAAAATCGTAAAATAATTTGGGAGGATCAATACACTTATTGTTCTAATTTTTATAACTATTATAATTTCAAAAAATCGAAATCGAAATATAAAAAAAGTTATCTTCTCAAATATAATTTTCTTCAGCAAAGTCACATAGGTTGTCAGATGGATATCGAAGGGAATGCAAAACAAACTCCTGCAAGTTCAACATATTCAACGCGCTAGTTTTATGAGTAAGAATTCCAATTTCGATGTAAATTTTTTATATTATTGGAAATTATTTAAATTCAAATAAGAAAATAATAGCACTAATGAACAAAATTTAAAATCGAATTAAATCTTCATGATAATAATTTAGGTTACTCCACATTTCAAATTTTTGCATGCTTTTTTCTCATATTCAAGCTTATCCTCCAAGGACAATACTAAGACACAATCAGCATTCACGAAAATCGATACAAATATAAAATATATAATTTGTTTATGATTTTCAGACAATTAAATCTCTTTAAGAAACTACATCAAACACCAACAATTGATAATTTTACAACGCATACATTTGCGGATATTTTTTGTACTAATATTACCTTAGAGGCTGGAAAATATAATATTTCTTGTTACGGTGCACAAGGAGGCGATTCCATGTGGAGGTCCAAAGGAGGTAAAGGTACAAAAATTGAAGGAATATTAACTCTCAGCTCGAAAACCAATGTTACAATAAGAGTTGGGAAAAAGGGGAAATTTTTTGCTGACAATGATGGTGGAGGCTTTCCTGACGGGGGAAATGCTTCCTCAATGCACGAAAATTGGGACAGATGTTTTTGGACAGGTCCTGGAGGTGGATCTAGCTCGATCATGATTGATAATAAACCAATATTAGTTGCCGCAGGAGGATCCGGAGCTCTTGACGATCAAGATGGTGCTCCTGGAGGTGATTTTACCAATAATTTTTGGTGCATCAATGAAAATTGCAGTTTGTTTGAGAAACATCAAGAGTTTACTAATTGTCCTGCTTATATGAAGTCGGAATCAGGTGAGCCTTTTTTTTCAGGTTCGGGAGGCGGTTATAAGTGCGGCAAAATAGTAATAGAGAAAGATGGACATTATAACGCTTCGTATGGAAGGCTGAGTTTCTATGATCCTTCTTATATTTCTGTAATGAGAATAACTTCAAATAATATTGAAGGAAATGAAGGAAATGGAACTATTGCCATTACCCCAATACACCATTCATTCTTCGCTCCATGCCGAGGAAATTGCGTCTACAATCGTATGAAGGGCTCAATAATATCTTCAAAAATCATCCGAATGACAATTCTATCCATCAGATTCCAAACAAGAAATTCAACATGAATTCTAATTATTTTGTATATTAGAAAGAAAAATAAACATGTATAATTTAAATAACTAAATAACAAATAATTTTTATTGTTTTTGCTTTTGAGTTGAATTATGTTTAATTAATTTCTCAACTCTACTTTCATGACTCTTAAGAACAGCAATAACATGGGCATCATTCCAAAATTTAACCTTCATGGACTCAATTCCTTCAATAATTTTCATCAAATCTTCTGGAGAACGATCTCTGAAGTTATCTGGAGGAGAATACGATAATAATGAGTGTCTGAGTATATCACGCATTGCCTGAGCCTTTCTCCATCTCTTAAATGTGTCTGTTTTCTCAAATAATTGGAAATCTTCGAAAGTTGGCATATCAGGGGTTCCAAACTCTTTCAGTATTTCTCTAAAATGTTCTGTTGCAAATGTTTTATCTACAAAGTCTGAATATGCATCAATTGACAAAATCATATCTAATTCTGCCAAAATTATCTTCAGAATCTTAGATGTATGCTTGGACATTTGATCGTGAATATTTGTTTCATCTGTAGCTGAAGATTTCTTTGCAGATTTAACGTGTAAAATCAAAGAAAATTGTTTGCACTTTTCTAATTCATTATATGAGCTGCCAACAAGTTTATAAGTTGTATCACCTTCCTTGACGGTCTTGTAGCGTGGATCTGACTTTTGAAGCCAAATTACACAATGATCATCATATAAAAGCGGTGTCATCAAAGAAAATGCAGCGAAACATGCTTTACAGCAAATGTCTGCTGATGGAGATATTATTAGTACTGGAGAACCCGTGAAAAGAGCTTTCCATAATTTCGGAATTTCATCTTTATCGAAAAACTTAAGAGGATTGTATTGCATATACGAGAAATGTGTTATATCAAATGAAATGGCTAATGATTTCGTTGGAAATGTAAGGACAGCTGACTCTACAGCACCTCTTGGCCATGTCGTGAGCATAGAGGTAACATAGGTAAATGCGAAGCTTGGTTCTGGTATTTCTGTTATAATAAACTGCTTTTTGACATCTTTCAAGAATGTTCCAAGCAATGATGCATAAGGTCTTCTTGTAGTTATCAAAATTGAGTAAGGCTCTTCATCATACATGAATAACAATCCATGATAAAATACTTGGTTGATGTTAAATGAATAAACTAATGGCAATTTCGAAAGATTAATTTTTTCTTCGGGAAAAGGCCAACACGTTGAACAGAAATAAATAGCATCATATCCAAGTTCGACTCCTTCTGGCACTGTCTCTTTAATACATGGGATATAAGACTTATCAAAATGTACTAAAAGACAAGCGTCGTAGATTGAAGACATTGCTAATTTTTTCCTATCCTACATCCATAATTTAATAATAGCAATAACAAGCCAATAGTCTGCTCTTCTTATTTTACGGTTACACTATATGATTATACATGTATTAATATATCCAATTCATCAAAGTTTATTGTTTAAATGCATCGCAAGTCCCCACATACGAAGCAATGATGAATAGATCTCGAATACATAATGGTTTAAGGCGAATATTTTCTGTTTTTCAAATGTGTTAAAATATTAAGCTTAATATTATTGTATACAATTTTGAGGTAGAAAATCCTTTTAGTGTACATTTTGTGCATCTTGAGATGCAATGCATTAAATTGAAATGCCAGAAAAAAAATTGAAAAATTTTAGTTTCATGGATAAAGTCTTAATAATGATGTTTTCACATTGCACATAAACATATTTTAGGTCGAAAATCAAATTATAGCTTTGACTTATTTGCTAATTTCGGACAAATAATCTTCGATATATTAGGCCGCTGAGTATAACCCATTAAATTATCACGTGGAAAAAGTTCATTAAAGTTAATAAGTCAATTGGGTTCGAAATAGAAACCACAATGTCAGACAAATCTTAAAAGCGGTTTTATTGAATTTAGATGTAAATTCAAATTTCAATTATTCCTTGGAATTGATGGCAGTAACAAAGGTATATAAAATATGATAAGGATTAAATAGAATCTAGATATGAAAAATTTCATGTTATAGACCGAAAATAGATTTTTTCGGTTTTCTCTTCAAATAATTGAAAGAATGATACTATTATAGGTTTATTATATTACATAGTAAAAAAATTGAATGATTGAAAGAACAGAAAAAGTCATTCTTTTCAATTTCGAATATGTTTCATTGTATTTATAATTATATGGCAAATAAGATATTTAAACTTGATTTTTGAAGGAAAATTCACAAAATTGAATGAATTCAAATAATTTTTATTCAAAAATAAACTAGTTATTTGAGTTTAATCCTAATTATCTATTCAAACTACAAAGTTTGTAATTTAAAATATTTTGTGAGATCAGATTGAATTAATTCAAGGTTCTTTTCAATTAATATTAATGACCATATTACGCATTTTCGAACATTCTAAACCAAATATATAAAAATGGGAGACGAATGTTAAATTTGCTAGACATGCGGGAGTTGTCTGCAAAGTTTTAGCTCTTATCTCTAACAAAAAAATTAGTTTTTAAAAAAATGACCGAATACGTTTCACAGCGAGAAAAAAATAAAAGGCAAGATAGAATTTTCTAGACATAAAGAAGTTGTTTACCGAGTTTTAGCTCTTATCTCTAACAAAAAATTAATTTTTAAAAAAATGACCGAATACGTTTCACAGCGAGAAAAAAATAAAAGGCAAGATAGAATTTTCTAGACATAAAGAAGTTGTTTACCGAGTTTTAGCTCTTATCTCTAACAAAAAATTAATTTTTAAAAAAATGACCGAATACGTTTCACAGCGAGAAAAAAATAAAAGGCAAGATAGAATTTTCTAGACATAAAGAAGTTGTTTACCGAGTTTTAGCTCTTATCTCTAACAAAAAATTAACTTTTAAAAAAATGACCGAATACGTTTCACAGCGAGAAAAAAATAAAAGGCAAGATAGAATTTTCTAGACATAAAGAAGTTGTCTACCAAGTGTCAGCTGTTACTTCTTCTCAATACTGATATAAAATAAAAATCTTTATTATTTATTTAACCTTTATTGTTTCATTAAACTTCATTTATTTTATATTATAGTTTTATTCTTTTAGCTACTTGTAAAATAATCTAATTTTATATCATCATTTTACCGGATTATTCTTCAGTACATCGATTGTGTATCTAAAATAATATCATTATACTTATTCTGTTTTTTCCAAAATTCTTTTAAATATCTTTTTTGGTTTGATTACTTTATACTTTTTACTTTTATTTTTTAATTTCAAAAAAAAATTTGGTGATTGTTCTATTCTGTTACAATGTGCATTATCATATTCTAATGAATTATTCATTACATACATTTAAAAAAACTTGTTAAAAATGAAATTAAAAAATTATGTTTATTATTACGCTGTGAATGTGTCAACAGCGGTCATGCCTGTATCTGTATCCCATATTTGCCACAACCTTTCTGTATCTGCATTTGTGTATTTCGGTTTCAGCTGATACATTTGATTTGGCGTGTAATTTGTTCCAGTTAATGGATTAATTGGGAGATCTTCATGCGCGGTGTGTTATTATTGTACTCCCAAATAAAGGCAGGAATAGCCTGAATGCTTTGGCAGCGCTCCAATGTCGGCCAGAATCTCTCAATCTTCCCATTTTGGTAGGGAGAATGAGAGTCTGTATGCCGCCATTGGACGCCTCAAAGATCAAGTAGATCTTGAAAGGCGCCCCTATTTTCTGAACCGTTGTCGGTCCAGAAACAATAAGGGGCGCCAAATTCAATGAAGGCGGAAGCCGCAACGTTCGCTGTCGTCGCTGCCAGCATATCTGGTATTTGTATACACGCTAGGACTTTGCGGCTAAAATCGTCGATTATGCCATAAATATACTGGCCACGAACACCCCTAAAATAATGAACATCTGCGTGCCAGATAAGATTGGGTGAAAGCGCCCAATATCTTACTGCTGTTTCTGGCCCGGCATGCTCTAATCGCGTCTTGGTGAAATGATTTTCTTTGAAGTATCTGCGTACTTCTCTATAAGATACATCAATTTGTTGTAATTTCAAACGTTTCCATTGTTTTGTTTGACCACAGGGAAAGGCCCAGTGGTCATGTATCACAGCAAGAGCTTTGATTTGGTCGTAGGGATTGACCCTACGACCTTTCTTGCCTTTAGGCAATGGGATATTCTGTAAGCTAAATTGATTTTGTAAAAAAGATTTTGAAACATCTAAATATTTGAAATCATTTGATTGAAGGGTTGGGGCGATGGGAACATGGTGCAAGCTTCTTCCCATGTCATTTTACCTTCTTCAATCTGATTGGAAATACCAATTAGGTAAATTCGATCGGCATACCCTTTGTAAGGATTCATTCTAATGAAGTACGTTAACAATCAAAATATTCTATAAGTGTCTAGTATGGAATTCAAAAGAATAAAGAAAATGGTAACGTAAATAAACGTATTATGAAATAATTTATAATTAAAATGAAAAAAGAAAAAATAATAAGTAAAGTGACTGGAAATGAAAATGAAAATCAGTGTACAGTTTTATTTTTTTGTCGCTGTGAAACGTATTCGGTCATTTTTTTAAAAATTAATTTTTTGTTAGAGATAAGAGCTAAAACTCGGTAAACAACTTCTTTATGTCTAGAAAATTCTATCTTGCCTTTTATTTTTTTCTCGCTGTGAAACGTATTCGGTCATTTTTTTAAAAGTTAATTTTTTGTTAGAGATAAGAGCTAAAACTCGGTAAACAACTTCTTTATGTCTAGAAAATTCTATCTTGCCTTTTATTTTTTTCTCGCTGTGAAACGTATTCGGTCTTTTTTTTAAAAATTAATTTTTTGTTAGAGATAAGAGCTAAAACTCGGTAAACAACTTCTTTATGTCTAGAAAATTCTATCTTGCCTTTTATTTTTTTCTCGCTGTGAAACGTATTCGGTCTTTTTTTTAAAAATTAATTTTTTGTTAGAGATAAGAGCTAAAACTCGGTAAACAACTTCTTTATGTCTAGAAAATTCTATCTTGCCTTTTATTTTTTTCTCGCTGTGAAACGTATTCGGTCATTTTTTTAAAAATTAATTTTTTGTTAGAGATAAGAGCTAAAACTCGGTAAACAACTTCTTTATGTCTAGAAAATTCTATCTTGCCTTTTATTTTTTTCTCGCTGTGAAACGTATTCGGTCATTTTTTTAAAAATTAATTTTTTGTTAGAGATAAGAGCTAAAACTCGGTAAACAACTTCTTTATGTCTAGAAAATTCTATCTTGCCTTTTATTTTTTTCTCGCTGTGAAACGTATTCGGTCATTTTTTTAAAAATTAATTTTTTGTTAGAGATAAGAGCTAAAACTCGGTAAACAACTTCTTTATGTCTAGAAAATTCTATCTTGCCTTTTATTTTTTTCTCGCTGTGAAACGTATTCGGAGTAGTATATAATGCGGGTTTTGTGACTTTTTTTGTAAACGTAAGAATTCATACAATATTGAGCGATTTTGTATCATTTTTTTTAACATATGAAGTAAAAAATGTATGATTCTTACGGTTTTTATTCTTACGTTTTTGAATAAATCAAGATTTAAAAAATTTTCAAAATTGTAAGACATTTACACTAAACCCATACATAATGAAAAAAAAAAAAAAAAAAAAAAAAAAAAAAAAAAAAAAAAAAAAAAAGGGAGTGGGGCTTCCAGGCACTTCGTGCCTTCTAGCCCCGAAGATGTTTTGTCACTTTTCTGTCACTTTTCGGGTAAAAACATTTTTATTATTATATATAAATGAATTTTACAAAACCACCGTTACCGTTCTTTGGAAATAAGAGTAAATGTAAAGATATTATATTGAGAGAACTTAAGAAACTACCGAATGGTCTAACATTTGTAGATTTGTTCGGTGGAAGTTTCTATATATCCCATTTGTGCCATACAATATTCCCAGACTCAAAGATTATATGCAATGACTTCGACAACTATATGGACCGTCTCAAACATATACCAGACACAAACAATATATTGAAAGAGTTAAAAGAAAAGATACCTATAGGTAAGATGGAACGTATACCATTAGATAACAAAAATACTGTGAGAGAGGTTTTGAAAAAAGCAGAATATATAGACTGGGATAGTATATCTGCTAGACTATTATATAGTGGTTCTATAAGAGTTCATGACATTGAAACACTTATGTCAAAAGTTTTATATCTTAACTATACAAATGTTTTCAAAGAGGACATAGAAAAATATATTGAGGGTATAGAGTTTGTGAGATGTCATTGGACAGAGTTGTATGAAAAATATAAAGACAAGGAAAATGTTTTCTTTATAGTGGACCCACCGTTCTATAACACATGGGATTTTCAATACCAAGTAGACTGGACTTTGAGAGACTCTTTAGAAACTTTAGACGTTTTACATAACCATCCATGCTTTTACTTTACATCCGATAAAAGTGGTTTGGAAAGTGTCATGAGATGGTTAGAGGACATACATGACTATGAGTTTAGATATGACAAGATAGAATATGAGAGAGGTCCTATAAACCGGAGAAAGTGTCATAACAAAGAAATTTTATTGGTAAGTAAATGTGGTTTGAAATAGGACTACTTGTTTTAGGCTTTTTCCATTGTGTCATTTACTTATTTGACGTGGCAGAAAGATATAGAGAATATGAAGATGAACCAATACCAGCAAATGTTCAGCATATGTACTCGTAAGAGATATTTTTATCTAATATTAAATGGACGCACAGAACTTAGCGAATGCACAGCAACCTGGACAACCAAACCCAGAGAATATTCCAAATGAAGTTAGAATACAAACTGCAATGGCAAACTATGGTCAAGTGCCAACAGATGTACAAATGCAAACTGCCATGTCAAATGACGCTGCGTTAGGTTTGCCACCATGGTATGCAAATATGAGATGGAAAGAGTTTTATACAAACCCTGAAGTGGGATATAAACAACTCTATGCAGATGACGCGAACACAGGAGTTGACCCAGAATATGTTTTCTACCAGAGGAGAAACAGAATGTATGAGCTCCAGTTAAAGAATGCTATGGAACTCAACAGGAAACGTAAGAGACTAGGCGGACATTAGATTTTTACATATAGTAAATGGGTTTCTTCAGTAGTATTGGAAACTTCTTCAGAAGAGTTGGAAGAGGTATATGGAATGGAATAAAAACCGTAGGAAGGGGAGTATGGAACGGTGTCAAAAATATTGGTAAAAGAGTAGGTCAGTTCGTTGGTATTATACCTAAAGACCCTGAACCAGAAGAACAAGCTCCTGTTATACAACAGCCTGAACCTGCACCACAGTCTAGTTGGCAACCAAATCCAACACCTCAACCGTATTAAAATTATATTTTTACCGTTCGATAGTAGTTGTATATGAAACTAAGTTCTAAGTAAAACGCGTGGTATAATGGAATTATTCTCTTTCTTCCATCTGTAGTAAACCATACTTGAAAGTCTGAAATACTTCCACTTGGTGTTCGTATAGCTTTGTAGGTTTTTCGTAAAAGTCATTTGCCAAGCATAAAAAAGAGTTTTGTGCACCAGAAAATGAAGCATGAACTATAATAGCATCTGAGTCGAAAACATCTTTAAATAAATATGGTTCATCTCTTGCATATCGACTGTAAATATTTGCTAAAGGAAGTTTGACTTTCTGATTTAAAAAAAAAAAGCAAGAGATACTTCTTTATGCTAGAAAATTCTATCTTGCCTTTTATTTTTTTCTCGCTGTGAAACGTATTCGGTCATTTTTTTAAAAAATTAATTTTTTGTTAGAGATAAGAGCTAAAACTCGGTAAACAACTTCTTTATGTCTAGAAAATTCTATCTTGCCTTTTATTTTTTTCTCGCTGTGAAACGTATTCGGTCATTTTTTTAAAAATTAATTTTTTGTTAGAGATAAGAGCTAAAACTCGGTAAACAACTTCTTTATGTCTAGAAAATTCTATCTTGCCTTTTATTTTTTTCTCGCTGTGAAACGTATTCGGTCATTTTTAAAAATTAATTTTTTGTTAGAGATAAGAGCTAAAACTCGGTAAACAACTTCTTTATGTCTAGAAAATTCTATCTTGCCTTTTATTTTTTTCTCGCTGTGAAACGTATTCGGTCATTTTTTTTAAAATTAATTTTTTTGTTAGAGATAAGAGCTAAAACTCGGTAAACAACTTCTTTATGTCTAGAAAATTCTATCTTGCCTTTTATTTTTTTCTCGCTGTGAAACGTATTCGGTCATTTTTTTAAAAATTAATTTTTTGTTAGAGATAAGAGCTAAAACTCGGTAAACAACTTCTTTATGTCTAGAAAATTCTATCTTGCCTTTTATTTTTTTCTCGCTGTGAAACGTATTCGGTCATTTTTTTAAAAATTAATTTTTTGTTAGAGATAAGAGCTAAAACTCGGTAAACAACTTCTTTATGTCTAGAAAATTCTATCTTGCCTTTTATTTTTTTCTCGCTGTGAAACGTATTCGGTCATTTTTTTAAAAATTAATTTTTTGTTAGAGATAAGAGCTAAAACTCGGTAAACAACTCCCACATGTCTAGCAAATTTAACATTCGTCTCCAATTTTTATATATTTGGTTTAGAATGTTCGAAAATGCGTAATATGGTCATTAATATTAATTGAAAAGAACCTTGAATTAATTCAATCTGATCTCACAAAATCTTTTAAATTACAAACTTTGTAGTTTGAATAGATAATTAGGATTAAACCCAAATAACTAGTTTATTTTTGAATAAAAATTATTTGACTTCATTCAATTATTTGAATCCTCCTTCAAAAATCAAGTTTAAATATCTTATTTGCCATACAATTACAAATACAATGAAACATATTCGAAATTGAAAAGAATGACTTTTTCTGTTCTTTCAATCATTCAATTTGAATTTTGGAATATTGGATTTCTCATTAAATAACTATTAAAAACAACAAGCAATGTAACTTACATTCAAATTTATTTGTGTTATATTCAATCCTCTCAAAACTTATAATTTTCGGCTATAGCATGATTATATGCTATGTAATATAATAAACCTATAATCGTATCATTCTTTCAATTATTTGAAGAGAAAACCGAAAAAATCTTTTTTCGGTCTATAACAATATGAAAAATTTCAAAAAAATTGTAAGAAAAATCGCAAAATTAAGGTTTTCTCATTTCTAACTATTATCGCTATTTTTCCTAATTTGAAAATAGAATATATTTCAATTGAAATTTTTATCTTTGATTATTTTTTGAAATCTAAATGTTGAATGCTAAGTTTCTATTACTAAATTTCAAAAAATGAATTGAAAAAGTGCTTGAAATTATTCAAAACTTCATTAATATATTTAAGGGTTTCGTTTTGCGAAAAAAACGTACAATACGCAATTTCCCTAAAAAACATTTAGCTAGCAATTTCGACATTTGACTCCACTCAAGGCGTCACTTTTTTAATTTTGCGGTATCATATTTTTGGAAAATCTTTATGAATATTCTATAAAAAGTCTCTTTAGTATCTATATTTCATATTTTTATCGATTTTTAAAGTTTTTGCGAAAAGTATTCAATTATTTTTGCTATTTGGTCGGGTAAATGTCAGATTTGCGACATTTTCTGATATGATATTCAGATTCTACGTTGATAATAATGCTTATAGAACCCTCTTGCTATTGTGTCAAAATTGCGAAACCGATAGCAAAAATATCTCGCAATATCAAAATTGAGATATTGAGTGAATTATGCATTATAGAGATTAAAAATCTGATTTGTGAAAACATCTCATCAGTTTCTAGCTAATTCAAAAATCTTTACTATCTTATTCGATTAAAATGAAAAGGGAATAGTTTCATTATGCTTTCAATGACAGCCTTATAATATAATCATAGTTTTCGCTCAATATGCAGCATTTTTTTTTCGAAATCTATGGTCAATATCCTAAATACTGATTGCTTTGCATTCATATCTCTTACATTTTCTATACCCACATCACTATTTATTGCTATTCCTATCTTTTTCATTTTTGTTTGTTTCTCATAATTTCTCAAAAAACATGATAACTTGATATTTGTAAATATCATACTTTATAACGTAAATAAGAACTTGACCTATTAAGAAAAGCAGTAATGAAAAGAAAATCTGAAATTCATAAAAATTACAAGTTTCTGATGACAATTAGCTTAATTAAACCAGGTACAAGATTATATAATTGTATTTTCTATCCAATTATCCATATAATATCTTATCCAGAAAAAATAACTTGATCAATACCAAATGATTTTTTAACTAGTAAATAAAGTATTTTCTTTACACACACATTGTATATCATAGTTTTTTTTTGGTTTCGCAAAACATCCAAAAACAAATATGCTATAAAAGTGACAATTTTAGCAAAACGAAACCCTTAATATATTTTATAGTCCCCACTTATCCACATCATTTCTAATTAAAATATATTTTACGGTTAAAAAATCTCGATCATAAAATATTTAATCTAAATCTATTATAGTTAAAAAACAACAAGAACTTTCAGCATTTTCTGAAATAGTATTTTGATTACTGGGCGGTTTTGATGAATAGTTTGAATACAATTCTATCACCAACGATCTTATCAAAAAAGAATATTTTTATGATGCTACAAGGCGGAACACAAACGTTCTACAGTATTCTTCCGCCATCAGACTATTCATCATTTCTACATCATCTACGCATGGAACCCTTCCAGATATTCTGTCACGAAAAGCGAGCGGAGGTCAGCAGAAATAACCCACAATTAAGTAGCAGCAAAATCACATCTTTACTCGGCACAATGTGGAGATCATTAAAACCATACGAAAAACAGTCATATATCGATGTTGCCTTATCAATGAAACCTAATGATACCGAAGAAGTTTGCAAAGATGAAATATATCAAAAGCAGTTTTCAAATACAACTTTAAGCCGGAGAGAAGATGGACCGCGAAAAAAATGCGAAATTCCTCTCGAGTTAATTCCTAATAATTTAATACCTAAAATCCAGGTAATAGCTCGATCAGGGAAGTGGAAAAATATTTCCAATTTAAGTCAGACCATACTTTACAGTGAGGTTCCTAGCAGCAGCGAAGATAGCTCCCAATGACATTTATATTTAATTTTTATAGCTTGCAATTTCATTTTTATTACTTTTATATAATTGTATAGCATACATACTTGTTTGATTTTTAATGTTTGGAATAAACTACAAATTCTTATATCAAAATAATATATTTTATAGCGTTTTTCAAATTTCATTATGAAGATATTACTAGTTATGTCATAAACTTTTAAAAGGTCATAGATAAATATGAAAATCCAGACCTCATGTAAAAATTATCGATTTTATTATTATTTTTTTCTATAGAAATGATGTAACTGATACTTCGCATTAATATTCAATTAATTGCTGTCTTGGTGGAGGTGAATAAAATCGTAATTATGTTTTGGTATAAGCAATTTCTTTTACGATTCAAGTTATTGTTCGAAATATCAGTCTTTACTTCATAATTTGCAGACATATGAACAGCTAAGCTAAGCTGCTAATATTGGGAGTGAGAACACTTCTGACATATGATTTTTTTCGATATGATTTGATTATTATTTTCATGCAATTTTGTTACTTTCCCTACTCTATTTTTATTTTTTAACCACGGAACAAATGTTCTTGCAATAAAGTTTAGATAAAAATCTTTTTATTCTCAATTTTTTTTTTTTTTTTTTTTTTTTTTTTTTTTTTTTTTTTTTTTTTTTTTTTTTTTTTTTTTTCTCATAAAAGCAAAAATTAGACTTGAGAGAATTTTGCGCTGAGATTATCATATGATTCGAGGAATTCGTTGATCAATCCAATATCTTCTTCATCTTCACTTTCATTTAATGTATCTTTCAAATCAGGGATGATTTCGGTATTGTTAATGATATATCTCT